ATTATTTCTGTTTCTTTATTTTCACATATATATATTTTTTTTCTTGGTTGAAAGGAATACAGCTCATTTTACAGTAAAGAATCAGGAGGATGCTGATAATTGGCGACTGCAGTGTGTGTGCGTGTGCGTTTACACGATGTGACTTCTTTTCCAATTGAGTTTCCAATTGAGTCCATAACACAGAATGCATTAGAATGCTGAAATGTTCTATGCTACGGTATATGGTGGAGGAAAAATAAGTAAAATTGGAGTCAATAAAATTCTTTCTCTCCCCTTCCTCATTGACAATATTGTTTTTTCTCCAGGGTGTGTGTGTTGGGGTAATTTCGTTTTATAGTCTCATATTCAGTCTGAAATCTCGGAGGCTGACACCCAAAGACTGTAAACACATCACTTTAATGTTTTCAATAAAGGAATAATCCCACAGAATAGAAGGAGGAACCCTCACCGTGTTCCTTTGAATCTGGCGCCCCCTGTTGATGATGGGAGGATTCAATCACACAGAGGGACAGACAACAATATAAAGCCTCATACATTTCAATCTTAGCCGTGATTTTACTGGCTGATGTCAAATCAGGAGGTTTCAAATTGGAGGTTTGAATGTGATTGTAACAATCACATTCAAACCTCCAATTGTGTTAATGATCCTGCAGTGTTGAAGTGTTTGCATCGGGCCTTTAAGACAACAGTTATCACAAACTTTTGTCTTTTCTTAAAATTTAAAATAGATCCCTGAGCTGCAGGCTAAACCACCTAATGCGTGTCTATCATTAAGGTAGTAAACTTTCATTGTGTTTTTATTCAGCCCACCACACACTCACAGAACACAGCAGCAAAGCTTTAGAGACATAATGCATCCAGAAGCTTTTGATACCAGTCAGCACACAGCAGCCCACCTCAGAGACCCCAACCCAGTCACAGATAACTGTGTATAAACCATCTTATTCTCAGACCGCTTGACGCCACATCCAATCAAGCAATGTCATCTTTCCCCACATCTCCCTGAGACAATTACCTCCACTTTTGCTTGAATAACACTCTCCCTTCTCCATCAGTAAACAATCAAATCACTCCATTGTTGAGGGGTAATTGGATCTCTTTTAAATCAAATCAGCCATTATGGCCCAGATGAAGCAGGCCCTGCTCCCCGGGAGCCGGCGACACATAAGGGAATGCGGCGCAGGAATACATTACCGGCTCTGCCTCCCAGGTGAAGACGGGTATATTGGAGGAGCTGTGTAATACAGGTTTATTAGACTGTGCGGTGATCAGTGCAGGGCGTGTTGCTCTCCTCGAGGACATGTTCCAGGTTTAGCTTGCATTTCAGTGACAGAGCAAGTAGATGTAAGAGGAGAGCGCAGATTGAACCCCAGTATGAAGAGCTGTCTGTGTCACAGTAGGACTTAAAAGAACAGGGAGTCACCACCCACTCTTTGGCTTTTTTTTCCACTTCTGTGTGGAAAACCGCGACATCACTGTGACAGCAATAACTGTTTCATGACTGCAGCTTGGCATCTGGTTGCATATATATTACAATATGGGAATTAATCACAGTTTTTACTTTGTGACACATACATACGTCATTTGTTGCCAAATGACCTCAGTATTTTAACCTTTAAACTTGATTTTAACACACAACGTCTTCATCAGGGTGATGAGCACATCAAAAATTTAGCTTGAATTTAGCAAGTTGAATTTTGCACTGACGCTAGGAAAGTGCAACTAATCTATAATTCATCAATACGCTACTTACTCATAGTATCTGGTCATAGAAAAGGCTAAAATGGTGTCTGAGCACTAGGAGTTTAGGATTGACTGTTTATATATCTATCTATATATATATCTATAAACATCAATATTTGTTGTTTAATTCATCGTAAGCGGATCAATTATAAAAAGAAAACACCCAAGAGACAAAACAATGCTGTGTTGAGATTGCTAAGATATATATCCTATATAAACCTCTTGCATCGAAACAAATAACATAGGAGAAACATCCCAAAAACAAAATATAAACTATGGCACTCAGTCGAACACTTATACACCCACCAAGGCCCATCAGTCTGCTTATGAAGCCATATTTACATTTACTAGATCCATTTTTTATTTGGATCTGCACCAAATTGCACCCACTCATATATACATATCAGATTTCTGTCATCAAGATCCATTTGTCAGTCTCTAAGAACTCAAATAAATTTTACAGATTTAATATCTCGTATGCAGATTCCAACCATAATTGACTGGTTTCTTTCCTTACCCACGCTGCATCCTCGTCCCAAGTTTTGCAATGTGTATATTCATATGAGATGTGTACTGATTGGGAATGTGTATAGAGTGTGGTTACCCAACAACAGGTCCCAATGGGTCCGGATTGACCTTGCAAGGTTCGGACAAACATTTTACAAAATTGTATTTAGATTAGGCTCACGTTTGCTGGGCTAACCTACTTGATTGTTTTACCTCTGACATGTCTGTAATCAGGGAAACTGCATCAGGCTCAGGTTTGATGTACGTGTGTGTATTGTCAAGGTTGTTTTTTTGAGAGGGTTTGAGTAATTCATCTCACTGCTCAGTAACTTTCTTTATAAGCTGCATTTTTTCTAAAAGTTTTTAAAGTATCAAAGGACAAGTGTGTGTGTGTGTGTGTGTGTGTGTGTGTGTGTGTGTGTGTGTGTGTGTGTGTGTGTGTGTAACTTTCTGGTTCTTCCCTCAGTTTCTTATCCCTTCCCATCTTCCCGTTCCTCTTCTTTTTTAAATATATATGATGTATATGATGTGACTGCTGTGTTGTCTCCAACTTCCACTCTTCGTATCTCTAAAGTCCATATCATCTTCCTCGCTCTAAAGGTAATGTGGATGAATGTGATGATGTTGCAGAGACTGATAGGGATATGCATGCAGACACCTGTGTAAACACACACACACAGAAATAGAAATGCAAGGGATATGCTGATGGCTCTTTATCAGACCATCTGTCTCTTAGCCAAAAATACACACATACACAGTTCCCTGTGTCTTTTCTCTGTACTCCACACTCTCCCTTTGTTATTACTGGATCCCCTACATTCAGTCAGTTGATAAATTAGTCACTCACTCAATCAGTCAGTCAGTCAATCAATAAATTGTCAGTCATTCAGGCAGTAAATTATCTGGCAGTCAGACAGTAAATTAGCCAGTCAGTAAATTAGTCATGCAGTCAGTCAGTGAATAATTCATTCGCTCACGCAGAAATTAGTCACATCATTAAATAAAAAGCAAGATGTCAGCTAACGATTCAGTCAGTCATCGGCTGGTAAATTAGTCAAATAATGACTATTATTCTTAGGATGTTGCTTAACTTTGTCCTCGCAGACAGAAGACAATGAGTCTTTAACCTCTGCTCAGCCTGAGATAACCACGGAAACACTCTAAGCCTCATGTGCATTTGGGGATTCAATGTGTTTGTTGTACAAGGACGTATATAATCTTCAGTGTGAGAGTGTACGTTTTATTGTGAAGGTTGATGGTGTCGTCAGATTGTCCAGACGTTTTGTTCTCAGCCACTTTTAACTCACATACTCTTACATTAGGTAAAATGTCAGCGAGGGATTCACCACCAGGCTGAAGGTCTCAGTGGATAAATGAAATAAGAAAAAAAAAACAGCAGAATGCAAAGGTGGGGAATTTCTGAGATACAATGAGAAAAGAGTAAATAAAGAATGGAGGAGAGGAATGGTGAATTTTAAGATCAGATGCAGACTGCATTCTGAAATGTTATTCTCATAATATTGTATTATATAGTATTATAATAATAATATAAATAATATTTATTATATCCATCTCAGAAAACATAGCAAAGGTTTAGCCTGAAGACAGACCTGAGAAGCTGAGTCATGCCTTCATTTCTAGCCGACTGGATTACTGCACTTTTTACAGGCCTCCCAAAGAAAACAATAGACTGCTGCTGCTCGGCTGTTCACCAGAACCAAGTCCAGTTCTGCTCTGCACTGGTTACCTGTAATATGCAGCATCGACTTTAAAGTTCTCCTCCGTACATACAAGGGTCAGGGTGTGCGAGGACCAAGTTCCATAACTGACTCTCTAGTGCTGTTCCCTCCAGAACACTGAGATCATCTGCAGCAAGTCTATTAGAGGTTCCCAACAACAGCCCAAAGAAAATCCAAGATGCAGCTTTTGTAAGTTACGCTCCATGTTATGGAACAGACTGCCGCTAGATATCAGAGAAGCAAGCTCAGTAAACATACTTAAAAGAGAACTTAAAACATTCCTCTGCACTTCAGCCTTTAACTAGATCTTGCACCAGCCCACACATTTTATATTTTTTTCTTACTTTTCTTTTCTGTTTTTATGCATTTTCTTTTTTATTATTTTATTTTAAATGTCACTTTTACATGTTTTTTCAAATGGTACGTTTTGTTATTCCCAGCAACACATGTCATAGAGATTCATTCTTAAAGAGACACTCGATTGACTCAAGTGTTGCTATTAGTGAGAATCGTGTTAAAGTGGTTCAGCTGTGTAGATTTAGTTCAAACATAAAAGCGTTTCAAGCACATAATTTTTCTGTATCCAAATTAATGCTTCATGAAACATGACTTGAGGGTTTTGTCCTGTGATATTCAAAGCCTTTCTTACTCTTTGACGCCTGCTCACTACCTCAGTCAGCACAAACACCTTTTTCTGAGCATCTCTCATTTCCTCTCTTGCCCTCCATTCTTCTGCTCATATCCGCTGTTCCTGTAAACTCCGCTGAGAGTTTCTGAGGAGTTGACTTCAAAATGCTGCAGGGAATAACAACCAGTTGTTTCCTTATTACAACCCATGGGAAATGATGTTCAGTAGCCTCTAAATCAGTCCCCTCCATTGTTCACATAATCCATCCCAGGGCAGTTTATTGAACAATCTTTCAAAGTGTTTTCAACAAAATTGGCTATTTACAGGAGGATGTGCAGGGAACTAAATCTGACCAATATTTCTGTCCCTCTCCTTTGCACCAGGTAAATATGCCATGAGAGATCTGATCCATCGGTTACCAGGCAGTAGCAGTAGCAGCAACAATAACGCCACCAGCAGTGGGACCTCTGGAACCACAGGCCCTCCCAGCAAGGCCATGTCGGACGACACGGTAACTGCCATATGCTGCGCGCTGCATGAAGTCATCACCAAGAACATGGAGAACGCCAAAGCTCTGCGCGATGCGGGCGGCATCGAAAAACTCATCGGCATCGCCCGCAGCAAAGGAGACAAGTGAGTGGGACCATGGTTTTGACTGAATAGTATAAAATGACACGGTTCAGGTTATTTTCTGTGAAAGTGAAATTGATGATTTGTTTGAAAATAAAGCTGCAAAAGCAACAACACATTTGCAAAATCCACACACCATTCTTCTTTTGGATGCTCCAAGCACTTATGTCATAACACCTCAAATAGACAAGCATCAAATTGTAAGAAGCAGAGTGCTTGAAAACAGAAAGTATTTTGCTTGTCAATATCTGTTATTGCTCACTTCCATTGTGATTGTGTTTCTGTTGTGTAGCTTTTGCATTTGTGTTTTCCATTACTGTTCTTATGTGGGATGTCTCAGCCACTGCATCAAGTTGAACTTAGTGAACCTTACGTCCTTATGTCTAAGTAGCCTTAAAGTCACCGTAAACTTTTCTCAAGACTTGAGTTACCCCTGTTTCTTTTTCTGCATCGTTACTGTCAATGGGAAATGGGAAATTTCTCGACGTGTAGTGCATCATTGCAGTTGACATTTCTCCAAAGGACAGCGTGACATACCCTACTTAGTATTTTAGGAAACCCTTCAGAACCATTGTAGGGTCTTGCAAAGTTTAAGAGTTGTGTTCAAGGACAACCTGATTAGACACTTCACCGCTGAAGAAGTGACACAAGTGACTTTGCAGTTGTGGGATTGTCTTCGCCCAAAGAAACAAAGTTAAAAAAAATGCAGCATCTTCTGAACCATATTGCTGCACAGTTTTCTGTTTAACATTATACCACAACATTTCACCCTACTGTATTCAGGAATAGGGTGATTCATTGTACTACTGATCATCACCACGATGCCACTTAGAGATTGTTTACACCACTTTTTGCACTGCTTTAATATTTCGTGTTTCGTGTCCAATAATTCCTATTCTGTTATTTTACTGTTATTACTAGTATTTATTCTTTACTTGGGTCAAATATCCCCAAAGGTATCTATAAAGAATTATCTTCATCTTAATATCAGAAAATGTTTCCGTCATCATCGTGAGCTCGTGGGTGTGTTGATGACGTTCTAACGTTTCTAATGGGATGGACGCAAAACTGAAAAAGAATACAAATATCCCATGAAAAAGCAGAGCCACACACATGGAAGATGCCACCAAAGATGTCAAGAGAGCTTATGTTGATAAGGTGCAATGTTAATGTCAATGTGCTATATAAAGACCTGTGATCTCTGCAGTGGAATTAATTAGTTTCATCCTGCCTCTACCTGTCGCACCACCCTCACCCAAACGCTCCAGAGATGTATTTGTTGTTTAGAAAGCGTCTGATCTTGTGCTTCATTGTTCATGTGTGAAAGGCAAACTCCGGAGAAAGTCCAGACCCAATTGTGCGGAGAGCCTACGGAGTTCATGTCTGAAAACGTCTTTGAAACATGTCACACTACTGAATATATTGATATATTAGAACAGTCTTTGAAAAAGTATTCCATATATGCATTTATTTCTGACCCCAGAACCAATTTCCTTACACTGCTGCTTAAGTGGTTATTAGATCACATTGACATCCTTCCAGATGTACGTAGTGGTCATTTTCTGCCTCTAAACTATGAAGGGTATATACACATATATCGATTCCCAAATATCCCTCGGGATCAGTGAAGTATCTAGTAGTATTTGCTTCAGAAAGAAAATATATATTATGTTCTGTTGCCTGATAAACAAGCAAACTAAATAATGACACTCCCCAGGACATCCAGCTTTAAATAAGAAGTATTTCAAATACTAAAATGTATATGATTTGAACACTAATGCATTGTGTAATACCTGTCATGGTATTTGGCAGCACTCTCCACACAGTCAGAAATGACCAGTGCCTTAATGCAGCCACACATCCATCATTCATAACAGCGTCCGCCTTCCCCTGTGACCAGTCATCCATGAAACACTGCTGGAGAACAACAAGTAAGATGCATCAAGGAATATACTGTAACTCTTGTCGTCATGGGAGACTGAACTGGGTGTTCTGCCCAGCTGCTATGGCAACCGGTGGGTCAGGAGTTGCCATGACACCAGAGTGTTATCTGATGGAGGTCAAATGTTGATTTATTGTTATGGAGAGAGGCTCCGGTCTATTTAGGGAACTGTGCTCAAGGGCGCCATTACACAGAGAGACGAGGTGCAAGAAAACCTCCATAAGTGCAAATTTCACACTGAGTGTAGCTCACTGCTAATAGCCCACACATCTTCATTTTCTCAGGAATAGGTACACTGAGGATAAATGCTCCTTATCTGTGGTGCCTGCTGCATTTATGCAATTACACTCTTTCAAACTGGGAAAAGGCCCATTACAGTGGAACCACAGATAGCCACTATATCCCAACTTTCCTGAAGCAGTATAAGCCCTGAAAAATAAATACATCCATTATCTATTATCCACTTATCCTTTGAGGGTCGTGGGGTGAGCTGGAGCCGGTACCAGCTTACAACTGAGAGCAAGAGGCAGGGTACACCCCAGACAGTTCACCAACACACACAGACACACAAACATTCACACACTTATGGTCAATTTAGAGTCTCTGGAACCTTCTTGCTGAAAGACAACAGCTAACCACTGCACCATATACAGCAAAATGAAAATAGAATAATATTAACATTGGCTTCTAACTTATACCTTTGTTTCATAATCACACCTTTATTATACAAAAAGAAACAGGTTTACAAAGTTACAAAGCTTAAGTGTTTTTTTTGTGTGTAACTGTGGTGATTAGCCTGTTATTGACAAGTTTCTTTTTTCAAATCAAACTTTTCTGCACACAGAACACAAACAGTGATACTTTCTGTAGGTGTGTTAGGTTCAGATGACATTTAAGCAAATCTCTGTTAACAGCTATTATGAATACAGATAAATCAAAAAGCTCATAGCTGATGCAATAAGGTCAATGTGGTCAAATGGAAACCAGAAGACTTCCTTCCCCAAAATCTAGTTCCTCGCCTTCACATTCTGCATATTCTGATGCAGAGTCTGTTAAGAGATTAATTCATGTGTAACGATGATACATTCCAATGCATTGTGGTTTTTATTGATTGCAATCTTCCAAACACTTTCTGTGCTTTCACTGGGCAGGAACACAATCTGAGAATTTGTGAAATCTGCTTTCAGGAGGGTTTTTGTGAACTTTTGCAGACAAATGCAAAAACGAGCATCCATGTTGCTTCCCTCTGTAGCCACGAGAAGGGCAGGGCTTATGAAATGACTCCTAGTAGAGTCATTTTTCAACTAAGTGGCACTGATGGGACCATTAGCATTGCAAAAAGGGTCATTTTAGACTCATCTAGAAACTCTCAGTTTTGTGCAAGGGAAATCATTCTCTGCTGAAAAGAGCAATGGCCCTCTTACTTTTGAAGCCACCTCAAGTGCCACTGCCCTCTGCACACCCAGTGCAGCTAAGAAGATGGAGAGAATAACAACATTGTCCATATTATCCAAATGGATGTGGTTCCAGGAGAAATCATTTTCAATCCTTCTCTGTCTCTGCAGACACTCAGCGAAGGTGGTGAAGGCAGCCTCTCAGGTCCTCAGCAGTATGTGGCAGTACAGAGACCTACGCTCCCTCTACAAGAAGGTAGGATGGAGTACACACCATGCACCATTTAGGTTTCAAATAATCCTGCAGTATTTCTAAAGAAAGAATGAAAAATACAAGCTGAAAAAATCCCTGCAAGAGTCTGCAAAGAATCATTTGCTCCTCTTTGGAAAAAGCGTTTTTCTACAACAAAAAACAATCTGCAGTTTTGTCCCAACCAGAGGTCTTTACTTTTAATCTCCTCTAGTGTGTTCTGTGGGTTTTTTTTGTGAATGTAAAAGTTCTGCAAAGTTAAAAAGCCCAAAGTATTTGGGAAAAGGGAGCTCCTCTCCACCTTTAAAAGATGGGATGCATACTTCCTTCATAAAATGTGCAATCTTGTACCTTTGCCTTTTCTTGTGTTTTCCAATATGATTTTGCTCCAATCAAATGTTGCTCACAATTGATCTTGTTGGCCTCTTCTTATACGTATATATTCTGAAATATCAATTGGGAAAATTAATGGGACATTTATTACTGGAGGCAGAGCCTTTCTAGAAGTGGGCAGTCACTGTTACGCTTGACTGTGAACTGTACCATTGCCCTACATTTTCATATTTATTTATTCTTTGGAGCACGCCATGTGAAATTATCCAATACCCTGTTGTGAAGCCCTGCTGTGCAACTGCAGAGCTGAGCAGATATCTTGTGTTATTCACTGTTTATTCCGTTTATTAACACTAAAGTGTGAAGGTGTCTGTATTTGTGGGTATTCCCCACTGTTTGTTTCCACAGTTGTGAGTCACTAATTAATTCCTATAAGGACTTTGGTTCAGTTTTTCATTTCCTATCCTAAAAGATTCTTTAAAATAAATAACTGGATAATATATTTATAAAATCCGTTTTTATCTCAGAGGTTGGGAGGAACTCAAACTTATGTTTTAGTTCCTGAGACAAAAGGATGGCGTTGAGCCCTGGTTTCGGGATTGGCCATTGTAGTCTGTGTGGTTTATAGCATTACTGTGTGTGTGTGTGTGTGTGTGTGTGTGTGTGTGTCCCTTTGCCTCGAGGTGAGTCATAACTACCTCCAAACAAAAGAATAATGGACGTCTGCCGGGCACCTTCTCAAGTGAGCAACAGTGTTTACAGAGAAAGGTTGTTGTTTTTTTCCAAAGATAAAAAAAGGCTATAAACACAAACACTCACACTCTTGACATGATGCATTCCTGAGCCATTTGCGTGTGTGTGAAGCCCGGCCCGAATGTCCTCACTGCCGTTCACAAATTAGTTTATACAACTACAGAAAGACACACACACAAAGATAGAGAGTCAAGGAAGTTAACGCGAGTGCTAATGGTTATGTTGCTCTTTTGTAGACTGAATGGGTTTTTCAGGATACTGAAGCTCATTACAACAGTGGCTCACTCACAGATGATGGCAAAAAGCAAAATGTGAGGAAATCATAAGGTCAATAGAAATGATTGGTTTGTGTGCTACTCTTAATCAGAAACACACATTTATCTCTCTCTCTCTCAACACACAAACCAAGCACACAGACACACACCAGACACACACTTTCCAGCTCCTCTTTTATTTCTTTTTCAAATCACAAACACTTTCGCACACTTGCAACCTGATTAAAAGTAATGAAAGATGTTCTGCTCCTTTCACTTGTCAGTAATGAATGTTGTTGAGTGAATATCTGCCACCAAGGTTATCAGGCATTTAGGGCCACAGAAACTTTCACAGGCGTAATCAATGAGTGTCACTGAGTTCTTTAGAAATACTCAGTAAGACACTTCAGGAATGTGTCCTTGGCTTTGAAAAAAACAAGAATGACGTTAGTGATTTGAGCTGCAAATTTGTGTGAACAATTGTATAAACGCATGTATAACCGAACGCTATAAAACGCTACAGCCCTGTGAGAAATGATTTGTGATACTTTCTCATTTTCCTCCCCTGTCCAAAGATGCAGATCTTCCTCTGTCTCTCACAAACAGAATTTCAAGCCTCTAAAACAAAGATGACACATAACATTTTCCCCAAAAAATTTTTTTTAATGTAAAATGACATCACAGTTTACTTCGCACATGCCCCATTGCTTTGTGTAACAAGCACATGGAGATATTTTGTAAAACAAAGGTCATGTGGACAATTTTCTTTTAAAAACGGAGCTGTTTAGGGGGAAAACATATTAATATTATTCAGTACTGTCACATATTGAGACTCAAATGTAAAATCTTAAAGAGATGTAGCAGAATATCAAAAGAGACTATTTGAGCACTGCACAACAATCCACATCCTGTGTTATTTATCTCTGATGATAAACCGCAGGATTTCAAGTAGCAACACTTCACTTTTCAAAGATGCTGTCCACCGTCCAAAAAAACATCCTGAAAAACAAGATTGAGCTGTCGTTCTTTGACGTAGCGAAACAAAATCGTTCACCCAAACTATTAAATGTTTCCCCACCTGTTTTGTGACGGGAAACAAGGAGCACTCAACTTGGCGTCTCACCCAATGACTTACTCGCATGTTGATTTTGTCGTTTGAGACCGTTTGAAGCAGTCACTCGAGGACAGAGCCACCCCGAGGCATCAGTGTGTCCTCGCCACATCCTGACAACTGTGCCACTCTCTTCATTCGTCACCCTCTCATCCTCAAGTATTGCTCAGGACAGAATCCCCATGCGGCCCCTTGAAGCCTCATCTGCTTCACACTTCTCTAATCATTGCCACTGGATAGCGTTACACTTGACTGGATTGCACACCAATAATCAGACATGAGGGACACTGGCTTTACATGACAGACTAGTTGTTTTCTTTTTCAGCCAATTATCAACTCCACCAAGGACAATATGTTCTTGTCTGTTTGTTTGTTTGTCTGATAGTAAGCAGGATTACACAAAACAACTGTACAGTTTACCATAAAACTTGATGGAAGGACGAGATATGAATAAGAAAAGAATCCATTATTTTTTGGTTCAGGTCTACATGGAGTGAAAATATCTGCTAACAGGAGAGATTTGGTGTGGATCTGGATAATTATTCATATTTTGTAAATGAAAATTAATATTTTTAAGGGCGTGATTCAGTTAACATGGAAACAAATATTACTTTCAACTATATCAGAGAATGGATGCATTACCTGTGTATAATGTAAACAGCTTGCAGATGATTTCTGCGCAGAAAGTTTATGTATCTAATGCAATACAGGGATAAATTGGTCCATGGCGGTCGTTTGCGCTCCCCAAGTGCCCTTCTAGTTTGTTTGTTTGTTTGTTTGTTTGTTAGCAGTATAATGTAAATCTTAGTCAACTGATTTCTGTGAAAATTAGCGGAGGGGTCGGCATGTTCCAAGGGAAACCCATTCAAATTTTCCACTTTCTTTTAACTTTGTCAGACAGGGCGTTTCTCAATATATTCATGTGAGTCCTTTGAGAGGAATGCATGGACTTTGATGTAAATGTTTAGGGGACTGATATTAATGAGTGTGTGTGATTTGGTGCAGATCCCCAAATAAATTCCAGATCTATTGAGTATAAATGTGGTTTCATGAGAGGAATGTTGAGCTTCAGACGACTGCAGATAAAGGGAAGAGAACAACGGTCTTAAGATTGATGGCTGCACATTTCGAAACAAGAGTGAAATGTCTCATTGGATCCAATACAATGTAAACATTAATCAAATAAGACAAAAAAGAAAAACAACTTGTTCAACATCAACAGCAGCAACAAACCTCCTCCATCATTCCTATTGAAACAAGATACCATCTGCAGTTTCTCTAGAAACATCAGTTTTGTGCCAATTCATCCACCTCTGCTTCATCTCAGTGTTTCAGTGATCAACATCTCATAATGCATTTTTAATTATCCAGGCCAAATTTCATTAATGCAGCACGTTCAAAGCAGTTAAAGGGATAGTTCACTGAAAAGAGAAAATTCTCTCATTATTGACTCACCACGATGCTGATGGAGGGGTGGGTGAAGTGTTTGAGTCCACAAACTGGGGTCTGGAGTCTCAGGGGTAAACAGTGTTGGAGCCTAATCCAATACAATTGGAGTACACTGTGACCTCTTCTTCAGACGTTACAAAACAAGATAAAAAACACAACATACTGCTCATGTGATGTCCCCAAGCCCCTAAATGTCCCCTTATATGTTGTGAATGACTTTGTTTACCCCTGAAACCCCTACAATGTTTTGTGGAGTCAAAAACCTCACCGACCCCATCGGCGTGGTGGTGAGTAGATAATGAGGGAATTTTCTTTTTTTGGTGAACTATCCCTTTAAGCCCCTGCTTTATGCTATATACACTCACTCTAAAAATAGGTTTTATAGGCTGATAGACAGAATGCATTGCTGTTTACTTCCTTAACTGCATGCAAACAACCTGGTTGCAACCTAATTTCATAAGTGCAAATTGTTGCTTTAGAGGATCCATACTTTGACTTTATCGCCCAATTCCAGAGCTTGAAGTGAGTGACTTTACTCTCAGTATCCCTGCGTGACGTATTAGGTCATGGGTGTTAGGTGCAGCAAAAATCCTGTTAGCCTCCAATCCAAACATGGATTAGCATACAATTTAGTCGCGAGTGAAGTCGGGTGTCTCTGCAAAACGTTTTAGAGCAAAAGGCAAAAAGGGGAAAGAAAGAGACGGCGGCAAAAAGGGGAGAAACAGAGAGGAGAAGTGAGGGAAGAGAGTGAGATTAATTCCCGAATTCTCAGAGTTACAGAATAAGCATGCTCCGTGTGTCTGTATGTGTGTGTGTCTGTACGTGTGGAAAAGTAGGGAAGAGTGTTGGGTCAATAATGAGTCAGTTTGAGCTGTGGCAAAGAGTTGTTTGCTTTGAAGTCTCGAAGTAACGAGAGCTTTTTGAAACACACTTTCATTGCATTGACGTTATGAGCATTAGTGTGTGTGTGTGTTTTTGCATGTGTTTTTGAAAATGCGTGCGTTTGTCAAGAAGAGTTAATCACTTCCTACAGCGGTGCCATGGGAGCGGTCCACGCTGAGAGAGAGAGGGAGAATGAGAAAGAGAGCTGCAAACGATCTTTGCTGCCCGGCACCTTTTTGATGCCCCAGCACACAAAAGTTGTGGGCCCATGAATAAACCGGCAAGGCATCTGAGGTGATTTGAAAGAGCAGACTTGCAGCGGTCATTAATAATCGAAAGCCAAAAATCTGTTTCCACCAACACTCGCACTAACTTGAGGATAAATCCCACACAATTGTCTAAACTTGCCTGTTTGCTCGGCCTGTTTTAATGCTCCGGAGCTGCTTCAGAATTATTTCTTGTCATTAGTGAGTCCTCCTCACACAATTATTCATATATGTTGTGTGTAGAGCTTTTTAAAAACTGTCTATGATGTTAGCTTTGTGTTCATCCTACCTGGTTTATCTGAAGTGAGGATTTTATGAATGTATATGAAACCGAATTGGTTTTATTACTGTTCACATGTGTGGCTTTTATATACTGTAAGTTTGAATAATTTACTTGACTGGTGTTCTTGTTTCTTGTTGCTGCATGTTGGCTATTTCGAGGCTCCCGTGAACATCTGTGTCAGTGCAATATGGTGTAATAAAGATAATCAGATTATCAAAATGATCAGAGGGAGTTTTTGGAGTTTCACTCAGCTCACAATCCCATGGTGGGACGTCTCAGGTAATCTTTGAAGTAAAGAGCAAATGTAGCGAACAGGTCGACAGGAGAACTTAACATGAATAAACATGAGAAATAAAGCTATTCTTCATGAACCAAATTCTCTGTCTCACTCACAGAAACTCCCCTGCACATTCTGCGCTCAAGCCAAGCAGCAAATTTTGTACTGTACATTCACAATATTACACTTTGTCATGTCCCTGCTCAGCGCATAATTGCTGTCTGCTTACTGTGCCTAATTTGTTGATAAATCACCAAGCTTGGGCACTTAATCACACACTCTCTCTAACACACACACACACACACACACAGATATATATGCACACATGTCATACTCATGTCACCCATATAAATCACAAACTCCACAAATCTCAAAAAGCAGATACACACACGTATGACAGATGGGGTTCAGTGTCAGAGAGACGCTGTGTTTGTCACTCGTGTGACAGATTTACAATATGGTCCAGGGATGTGTAATTCAGGATGTGGGTGTGTTTGTGTGGTATGAGCGTGTGTGTGAAGTCATTTATTGCACAACCTTGTCCTTCAGAGGATCATTGCAAATGTAATGAATACATTTGAACAAAAAGTGCCTGGAAGATTTAGGCCACAAATCAGATTGCAATGATACGATAGTTGCGTGTAATTTCCAATTTTTGGTGTTTACATTTACATTATTACATTTGACATTTATGGCAGCAATAAATGAGATGCTCCTCTCGGAGAAACCTGTAAAAATTCATCCATCATCCATTCTCATTCAGCGTAAACAGGAAGAGACAGCGAGATGGAGATGAGCGTTTGAAAAAGTTCAGTCGACATCAAACCGATATCAGGCGTGTGAGGCTTCCTTGATGTTTCGCCCGGATTCCCTCTGAAGCTCACCTGTTTTCAGACAGGGAGAGATGGAGGTGCACTGAGATGGCCTGTCTCAGTGCAAAGGGCGAACAACAGTATTTTAATGAGACAGAGAGGTATTAGCTGCAGCTCGCTCTTACAGTTCTCTGCACCATTTGCAATAAATGTCGCAGAATAAAGGTCAGTTCCTAAATAACCAGAACCACAGGCGGTGAAGATAAAGAACACCGGAGTGAGAGGCGAATTATCCCTGTAAGCATAGATACATCATGTGTGACTAGAGTGTGAAATCAGAGAGAGAGAAAAGGATTGACAATGTTTAGTTGCGTCGTGCCATGCTCCGCGGGCCACCCACCTCTCAGCATGAGCAACCTTTTACAATTTTTCCCATAATTGCTGTCTGGCATCCGTGCCCTAAAACACACACACACACAAAAACACATACACCTCATTTGTTGTGGCGGTAAATGCTTGTCACCTCAGAGTCCCTTGACCTTCAACTAACCATCCAGTGATGGTGAGAGCAACAGGCAAAATAGTTCCCTAGCAACCTGTTTCTTGGGGTTGTGTTAGAGTTTGAGTGTGACAGAGAAAGAGGAGGTGGGTGTAAAGAGAAGGAAGGAAGTAACAGACGAACCAGCGGGAACTTATTATTAGGTTAAAGTTCTAAATACTTTATATTAATCTGGACGACATAGCTGGATGCAGTTGAGGTTGTAAACCCTGCTTCCTCTTTTGTGAGTGGATGGGACGTGGACACTAAAAAGCCAAAGTACACGTCAAATATAGTTTGAGTCATTTTAGGTAGTCCTGATCACAGTCCAGATGTTTTTTTTACAGAACCTGGTTTGAATTATTATTTGACGCTACAGAAATGGGGTGGAATGTTGTAATTGACAGCTGTGTGCATGTTTCTGCAGCACCTCGTTACCCCTCCGTCCTCGGCTCCATCCCCTAATCGCTACTGAGCAGACTCTGGCTCCAAATAACGTCTTTGCTGCAAGATGGGAGGAGCTTGAGATGCATAGTCCATCTTTATACACAGGCGCTGAGGATTTGGTGCAAACTACTCCAAAGACTTCAGGCCTCGAACCTGTGTCTGATCTTGTGTTGATGTGCCATTTATTTAACCCATTTAACCTGACTGATTGTCTGGGTGAGCAGAAAAAAACTAACAAATGCTGGATTTCCAAAAGTTTCTAAGGATACCAAGTTTGTCAGGCTGAAATTCGAGCAATCAAAATCATAAGATGTATGAAGAGCTGGACCACACTGATGTTCAGGTCATGATACTGTCAGATCGTGCGTAAGGAAGGAAAAAAGGGAAATTCTTTGTTGAGGCATTAAGATACTTTATGTAAAGAGACAATAAGTGTGAAATCTATGGCTGTGACTGGCTTTTTAATAGATTTAGATGTATTCTATATGCTGTCCTCTCTAAGTCACATTATTCAAGGGGCTTTAGGACAGGATATATCACACAGAATGCATCAACGATTCAGTGATCAGTGACAATGCTCATTTATGTGTGTGTGTGTGTCTGTGTGCGTGTGTCCGGGATAAATAGATTAAGTGGAAAAGAGAGAGGGTGGGATGGCGGAGACTAGAAGGCATCTACCTTGAACGGCTGTGAGTCAGACAATCCAGCTTTCTATTAGACCTCTGTGTCATGCCAGGATACAGGAGTCAGGGGAGGACACGGGACTGTGCCCAGTTCAGCCAACCTCTCTCCCTCCACCTCTCCATCTGTCTCCCCCTTTGTTGCCTCTCTCCTCCTTCTAGCTATTGTTACTTTCCTGTCATCACACTCTCTTTCTCCTCTTTGCTGCTCTCATTCCTTTTCTGTCTTCCTGAGCTTGCATCTGTTTCACCCTCCTCTCTTTCTCTCTCATCCCCTCCATTCCTCAGTCTCTCCCCCTCCTCCTCTGCAGTCTAATTCTGCTGAAGCAATTCACAATTTCTCCCATGTGCTCACACTCACCGCAGTCCGACCGGTTTCCCACGGCTTAGCTGTGGACCCCAGACGGTAAAGCTATGATAGGACATGTCTCCATTATCTTCTATCATCTCATGCACTTTGCTTTCAGAGGTTGCCAATTATCGTAATGCTAAATTGAATTTTGGTTCCAGCTCTGTGGTTGTTGTTTACTCTCACGATGCATTTCTATGAAAAGGGCTTTGCTCAAATCACTGCTAAACTAATACAGATACAAAGTCACCGGCTTGACAGTAATTATGCTTGTGTATTTGTTGTATTAATTAGCTTTTTCTGCAAGGACAGTGGGATATTCACTAAGCTGAGACTCAATGCAAGCGCAGTGCTTCATGGCGTATGCGGAGCGCTGTATGTGTCTGTGTGGGCACTGAGTATTTGTCAGTGTCCTTCAGTGTCCACGAGACATTTTTAACTTCCCACGTGCTTGTAAACTCAAGGAAACCAACTCTGAAATGTAGTTTCTCTGACAAATGTTTCATTTTTCAGTGAGTCAGTCATGAGGCAGAAGGCATGAGGCAAAGTGGGTTGTCCATTTAGCAGAGGGTCATTCTTTGATCCACGTGCAGTGTGTGAATGCGTGATGGAAATAAAAGCACAGTATATTTTAGCACTGTATGAATGTGTGTGTGAATGGGTGACTGTGGCTTCTATTGAGTGGTCGATAAGAAAAGAGAAGTGCTGTATAATTACAGTCAATTGACCAAAGAAGGCAGAGGTTTACACACAACTATAATCTCATCTCTCTTATTGAATCAATTATCCAGATCTCCATTTGTCTTTGCTGTCAGCTACAAAGACTATTGTTTTCCCAGTAGAACATTTCACATACACTGTGACCCTTGTGTGTTTCACATCCCCTGGATTCCAAATATTGCTTTCATCCGTTGCAAAAATTTTCACCAAGCAGGCTCTGGACTGTGTTGTGGCCTCTATTAAACTGAAGCAAAATGTGATGGTCAACAGTAAATATTAGAGCCCTAGGTTTCTAACCCACCAAAATGTTTATAAGAGAAACCACACTCCTATACCCCTTTGCCTGAAAGTTATAATAAAACAACTATCTGCAGCCTAAATAAACAATAAAAAAAAAACTGGCTCAATATTAACTTTGGCTCCTTCACTTTTGAAGGAGTAAATACAGCGACATGAGGAACATGGAGGGTTTTATCTCCAAACCTCAACAGTTGCTGTTCTGTGATTTATCAATATTGAATCAGTGAAAAACCACCTGTCGGTGCATGAAACTGCTGCTGTTCTGGAGATTCTTTTAAAATATTTACTCCTCTTTCAATTCTTTTCAGCTGAAAGTTTCAAAGGTGAACCTTGGTGGATGATGAGTTTTGTGTGTTTGTTTTTCAGGATGGATACTCCCAGTATCACTTCGTAGGCTCTGCCTCAACGATAGAGCGAGACAGACAGAGGCCCTACTCCTCCTCTCGAACTCCATCCGTCTCCCCCGTCAGGACGTCCCCAAATAACCGCTCTGGTGAGGAACACATGACACTTTTTATATCATGTGTTGTTGTATGTGTGTGTTTTCCTTCTATTACCTCTCTTTACAAACTGCTAGAATATAAAGCTCCAGTTTGCAGCAATATTTAGCAGTGACATTGCATATTGACAAAAAAAAAAAACACCCCCTCACCACATGCTTCCCTTCCAAACCTCTGGGTGAACATGAAAGCAAAAAACAGTAAAGGCCTTCTACAGATCCAGTGTTTGGTTTGACCTTTCTGGGGTACTGTAAAAACATGATAGTGCAACATGTCAGACCTCTGTGGACAAGGAACTGCTCCCGATGTAGATATAAGGTAACAAAAACATATACAGTCAGCCATTTTCAAACAGGAGCTGAAAGTGTTTTCCAGAGTTTGTCTTTCACATATGAAAAACGCAGCAGGAGCTTTCCAGGGTCAGACACGTGCACAACAATGATTGGGGTGAGGGGTGGTGCCAGGGTAGAGAGATGCAGGACGTGGGACATGATGTAGAAATTCCAACCAATTTTCTCACCGTCCCTGTGACAATTTTTGCATCTTATTGCCAAAACCTCTCGAATCTCGTTGTCTCTCTCTGAGTCAAGACGGCACCTCTTTTCAATCCTGAAATCTTGCAGGTTAGAAACGTCATCAACACGCACACTGGTCACTGTGACATTTTTATGGAAAATGTCCAGAGCAATTGAATTATGTATGAGATGTTGGTATCGATGAATATGAGCAACTTTCATGGGGATCCAAATAAAAATCTGGACTTACCAACACCCCTAAGTTTACATGGTCTCCCCACACGTGTTTTCTCAAGCGTCCTCCCAAGCTCCAAAGACATGCAGCTGAGGTTAACTGAAGACTCAATTGTCCTTAGATGAAAATTCAAGCATGATTGCCTCTGAATGTCGTCCCTGCTGTGGACCTCTCACCCTATGTCATTTGGAATTGGCTACAGCCCAGAGAATATTCTCTTTATCTAATGAATGGATGGATAACAAGCTCTCAAATTGTAGCATTCCATTCAAAAATTGGTTTGGCAGATTATTAATGACAAAAGTCCTGCTTGTTTGAGGATGACTTTAGGTCAGCAATAGGCCATAGGTGCATGTCCCTCTAGACAGACAGACTCAATAGCATCACAAATTTGCAGGAACAATAATTAGGGCATTGGCCTAGTAGCTTCAACTTTTGCCAATCGATCAGACTTTTCATTGAGGCTCCGAAGCTATTAACATCAGCGTTCGCCATCTGCAGCCTCTCATGCAACTAAAGTGTGATTATCATTAGCCTGTAGCTCGAGCCCGCCGGCCTTCATGCTTCGTAAAGGGTGCATTAGCATTAGCTGTTAGCATCAGTGGTAGGAGATGCCTTGAGCTGTGATTTCTCCACACCAGGCTTAGCAAGCTGATGAGGCAGAAAAGTACTTTTCCTTCCTCCCAGCTTAGAGAGGTCTTCAAGGAGAGAGACAGAGAGAGAGAGAGGGAGGACAAAATGTATTTGTGTGTGTGTGTGTACACGGAGACAGTAAAAGAGGGAGGGATGAGATAAACAGAGAGGGAGATAAAGAGAAAAAGCAAGGAGGCAAGAAGAATTAGGGATTGAGGGATGGTTAATGCCGAGACGAGCAAGTAAAGGATGAGGATTTGACTTTGGCCAGTGACATTGAAAATTAAAGCATTAAGCTGAGAGAGGCCATGGTTAACAGTGAGTTTAGAACAGCTATGGTGCACTCTTCGCTAAGGGGCGTTTTTAGGCATGACGTGCTGAAAACCCCCCGAGCTGTTCTAAATTCACTGCAAAACATGGCCTGAAGGGGTTTTCTGCTTTTATAAAATGGTTACTGCATATTCATGGTGAAGTTGCATAAATGTACAGATGTATTGATAACAAATAATTATTCTTCCACAAAGCAATGAAGTCCTCCAGCAACGCAATGATTACCAACGCAACACAGAGACACAGAGAACGCTTAAAATGATCACGTTGCCAGTAATTGTGCAGCTGTTAAAGGGGTGTTGTCTTCACTCCTTTATGCCGGTTTACGTTTGACTCTGAGTAGGTGCGTATTTTAATTATGCTGTGATATTGCTCCAGCATCTTGGGAGCTGCTTTCCGACATGCACTGAACTCTAGATAATCTCTGGACGTCATCCGGAGCAGCTGCATGTGAGAACGCAAATGTCCAAATGCAAGAGGCTCAGGGCTTTCTCCGGAGTTGAAGTCCCTTAGTAATAACTCTGGAAAAGGTTTTAATGAGCTGATGTGAGGAAACAGCAGGAGATCCTTCCCAGGGTTCACCGCAGGCCACTGGGCGTGAAACTTTGTAGATACTTGTGGGCGACAAAATATTTGTCCAACAAAGCAACAGGATGCAGCAGGTTCCCTGACTGCCCCAACATAAATCCTAACAGGCTCGTCTTGTTTCTCTCATTGTACGTTCACTGAATAAATAAATTACTGCTGCAGTAATACTAATGCATTGACTCAAAGGTGTGTTTTAGTTTATGTATCAAGTATTTTACAGTTGCTTTGAACAAAGCACAGTCAATCGTAATCAGGAACTGGAATTATTCATTTTATAAAAGGAGTGCACAGAGAAATGTGCAGTTTGGGGTAAAATGGCTGGAAATGACTCCCATGCCTCCCCCCCACCCCTTTGCCTTTCCACTCATCTAGCCCACGTTCACCCATTTCATACTTCTCCTCCTCCTCCTCCTCTTTGCAGTAATCCTACTTTCTTCTCACCTCTCCCTCTGATCTCTCACTCTTTGCAGACTGCCTCAATGTGCACACACACACACACACTCAAATATACACAAACCCTCATGCATCCATATCTCCTCTCTGCATACGTTCCAGACTGCAATCCAGCCCCTTAGAGACGGATCAAAGCAGGAGGAGTAATGATGGTGTGCAGGCACAGTAAAAGAGGGGGAGTGAAAGAGTTAGTGTGAGAAAAGAGTGATAGAACAGATAGAGAGAGACGAAGGGGGGGTTGCAGGCTGCTTGGATGGCAGAGAGACACATGGAGATGCAGAAGGAGAGCGAGACCTTTGCATCCATCATTACCCCCGCAGGGTCCTGCTGTGTTTTGCGCTGATAAAACAAGTCTCCCAAGCTCTCATACCCAGCGGTTTCAAGGCAGGTCCCCACGGTAACCGTAACCACTGGTGATGACTCCGTCTCTGGGGCAGTCCGTGTGTGTGTGTGTGTGACAGCTTTGAGTATCCACCTAAATGGAATTGCGCCACGAAAGGTGTCAAATGAGAATAATTAAATATCAGAGGTGTCAAAAACAATCTCTCTTCCTGTTTCTTTTGTTGCACTAAACGTTTTGCAATTTCATTCACTGTGACCAAACAGTCCGGAAACGTGTGTATAAGCCTTTGTAACGAATGTTTGTGTGTGTGTCCTGCTACAATGCAGAGAAAGCTGGGGGTGGGGGTAAGAGGTTACAATGCTTCTTTGCTTTCTGATGTTGAGCATTAAAAATATGGTTCTTTAATATTCATATACATAAAGTGAGCTTTCTAGACATGCTTTCTTCTATGGGCTTGTCTTATGGGAGCTGCTATTATATCGGGGTGTAGGAGAAATCGAACAGAAACGTGAGAAAGATTTATGCTTCTGCAATTGAGAGCAGTGTTCTCCATATGTGTGCATGTGTTCGGACAAATAGACACACATTCAGTATTGATGCATGTGTTTCTCTCCTGCGGCTACAGTTCCACAAACGTCCACAGTTCTCAAAGTCAGGTTGAATGGGTCCAAAGACGAATATCCTTCATTTCTGAGTGTAAAAGTTATATATAATGTTAAACAATATACAGTGCATAGTTGCAGGAATGTTTAGCTAAGCAAACTGAAGGGGCTGATTACACAGGTAGGCAGGATTCTGGCAATTCACTGTGTCAAGATAAGAGCCACTGAGTAAGCATTTTTAGTTTGCCATGAGGGGATAACATTGTGACATGCTGGGTGTGTGTGGAAAAGAGAGAGAGGGAGATTTAATGCACAGCATGTGTGTATGCATGTTTATGTATGAGAGCTCACATGTGCAGTGATCCCTCCAGTTCAGAAAAAAACAGTTGATCTAAAAGCTTGAGACAGTGACAGGAAGAAAAAAAAAGGGGGTTCGAAGAGGTAAAATACATTTGCAATTCAAATGGCAATATATAATTAATAATGTTAAATAATAATAGTAGATAATAACTAGGATGGCACTACGTAGAGCACAGGCGCAGAACTATTACTGTATTTCCAAGCAGTAATTTGTCCATTCTGACAAAACATCAGTTTGGTTAACAGCTTCAATCTTTTAGAAACAGATTCCATTAACATGGCATTGAAACTACAGCATTACAGAATCATTTTTCTGGCTGCTAATGTCTAGTTTACTACTTTCAGTCCTGGATGTTCCTCAGCTTTCAACACAGAAAGTAAAAATGTATGCTTTGCCTGAATTGAGAAAATTTGATAATAATTTGTCTAAAATCTGATGTATATGCATGTGTGTGTGTGTGTGTGTGTGTGTGTGTGAATTCCCAGAAGTCCTTTAACAAACTGAAGGTGACCCTTAATGCTGACGAGCTAAATGATGAATAATGACTGTGCACTTTGAAAGACCAAGACACACACACATGCACATGCACACACACATACACATAATAAGTAATAAACCCAGCGGCCCAGAAGTATGTGCCCTTATGTGTATTCTTATACGTGTGTGTGTGTGTGTGTGTGTGTGCACGTTTAGCGAGCGCACCAGCCTCCCCCAGAGAGATGATGTGTCTGAAGGAACGTAAGATGGACTACGATTCCACGGCAACCAACGCTGGTTTCCATAGCAACAAAGGAGAGCACACATCCCGGAAAGACGGCATGTCAGGTGTGTGTGTGTGTGTGAGTGTGTGAGACGGAGAGACAAAGAAGAATTAAATTATTCCATTTTATCCCTCTCTTTATCTTTCTTTCTCTTCTATTTTCCTTCCCTGTTTCTCCTGTGACTCTTATCTGTCTCTTTTTCAACCTCAAACTATTTTTCTTCTCCTACTCACAGACTTTTTTTTGGTGTCTTTCTTCCTCTCTTCCATTGTTCAGTATACATCTAATGTTCTCTTTTCTATCCTTTCATTATCTTTCTCCTAATATTCTCATGAGGTCACTGTTGACAAAGTAATGCCAGAACTCTAATTAGTTGATTTCTGACCAAACCAACTGTGGAGTTTTCCACATTTTAGTTGTTCTTTGAATTATTATCAACAGTAGTGGTGAAACTAGATCTTTAATCTTTCGTTCAGATAAAAGTTTGTGTTTCTCTTTTTTTTTCTTATCTTTCGTAAATCCAGTTCAAGTATCATGTGGGACGTCTACATTGTTCCGAAACTCTTACCTGACTGCCAGTGATGATATCAAGCAAAACCAGGTGAGTTAACACTCCAATATGCAGCCTTACACCTTTATATGTAGACACAACAGCATAGCAGGTTTTAGCAGTGTGTGTCTGTCGTGTGTGTCATCAGGGTTGGCATAAATTAGAACATGATGTCATGACAAGGTGGTTAATATCAGCAGACATAGCAACGGGATGGATGAGGCACATAAAAGTGTCTCGTTATGATAATAATTGTTGACTGAGTGTTTTCAGTCACAATGCAGCATTCGCTGATTCGTCAGGCTCCGATCACATGAGCCCTTTCTGCAAGAACATAACAGGCATCAGCCTCAGTTACCAATGTATAACGTGGATAATGAATTAAAAGCATCACTGACCCTGTTTTCTTTGCTGTTGTGCCGTTAAATTCAGCATTTTACAATGGTACAACTCGCTCACGTTTGTGCATGCAAGTTTTCAGACAGTTTAGTATGAACGGGGATTAATCCTCATATGAATCCAAATGTTGGTGTGAACAGAGACGTTTGAGTCTGAAAACAACGCTTTCAAACCAACAATTGTAGTAGGATGTAGCCTGAAACTTCAACCGGCTGTAAGCAAAAAAAAAAAACAAACATACACAAAACAAACAACTGGCCTGTGAAAGGTACAGTGTTCAAGATAAATTGCCCCCTTCAATACCTGCATGTAATAGAGAATACACAGCATGAGTCCCTTCCCACTTGATGCCTATCTGAGCCGTTTTACCTTTACTGCCTGCCTCTTATGCCGTTCTCCCCCATGTGCATTCTCCTCACCTGTCCTCTCCATCTCTCACCTTTTTCCCCTTCCCTCTTTCACTTTGCTCCCTGCACACTCATTTCTACGACTCTCCGTTCTTGCCTGCTGCACCTCACCCTCACCTCACCGCCTTTCACCTTCCCCACCCACTCTACCATCACCACCGGCCCCTCACCAGACTCCAGCCCAGCCCTGCGTTGTGCCCCCCCAGCCCCAGCAGGACAGCCCGTCAGCAGCCGTGCTAAAAGACTACGACCCCTACCCCGCCCCTCCTTCCTTCCCGCAGCCTCCGCAGCCTCCACCTCACAGCCAGAGCCGCAGCTTCGACGAGGCCTACTACGAGGACCAGGGGCCGCCGCCTCCTCCGTCCCAGCCACAGCCGCAGATACAAGTGCAGGTGCAGGCTCAGCCTCAGGCCCAACCCCAGCAGCCTCCGAGCTCAACCGGGCCGCCCCGGGACCCACGGGAAGACCTGCGCATGCATCTGGGCCTCAAATCCACCGGTAACTACGTGGACTTCTACTCAGCCTCTCGGCCGTACAGCGAACTGAACTATGAGACCAGCCACTACCCAGCCTCGCCTGACTCCTGGGTCTAGCCAGATCAGATAGGGGAGGGGGGCAAGAGAGAGTCTGTGTATGCTCGTGTGAAAGGGATTATTTTTTACAAGCGATCAACAGCAGATGAACCGAAGGTGACAGCGTATTGAAAAGGTATCTTGTAGCCAATGGCAGGAAATTAGTGCTCCTTTAAAATAGGGTTAAAGACTGATTTGGAAGTCAGGTGGAGTGACAATGAGAGTCTGTGCATGTGCATGCCAACATTTTCCTTTTCTTTTTAAGACCACTTTATTTCTTCAAACTCAGCTCCATTGTAACGTCAAGTGGATAAGGAGCAAGTGGGAGTAGATATGAAGTGTGAGAGACAAGTGGGCCGTGGAAAACAGAGAGATAACGACCAGGCACAGAGAGTACACAAGGCCTGGAGAGGAGGACAGCGATGGGATGGAGAAATAATGGGAAGCAGATGACTATAGAAATGAGAAGACCATTTTGATAAAGATAGAGGGAGGCAGAGAGGAGAGGCAAAGATGGCATCAGGGTTCTCGAGGAGGTCCGGAAGAATAAAAGCACAGAGGAAGATGAAAGCACATCAGACATAAGACAAGTCATGGATGTTTACCATTTCACCCGAGTGACAAAACGTAGCACTGCTTTTATCCCCCGTCGTTTTGTTCCGATGGCCTTGCTGCCTACAGAGACTTCTGAATTTGTTTTCAAGGAATGTCATCCTCAAGAGACTTCTTTTATCTCATCATTCTTTTACATGTTTTTTTTTACTTAAAAAAAAAAAAAAAGCCTTTTTATTTCCTGACTTAAATTCAAAGGTGATATAGTGTGTATATTACACGTTTTTGATGGGGCCACTTGTGAAAATATGATTTTTTTTCCATGGCTGAAACAACAAAAAGCAACAAAAATAGAGTCAAATCCAAAAGTAGAAAACACAGAAGTTGTCAGGATGGATCGCCAGTGGATACCTTTGCTTTTTGCCCTTTCCGAGCCCGAGAGGAAGCCCTGCAATGCTCGTGTTTCTCTCTCCACCAAGTTCATTTTGATTGTTGTGGACATGCTCAAAACGTCAAAAGCAGTTCTAGGCTGCCAGAGCACCAGAGTGGCACAGCAGCGCCGCTCCCAAGCTCCCCTTCAACACGAGTTCTTTTTCACTGCCTCAAGAATATACGTGTGTCCAGAGCACTTTGGAAAGGGTTGTCTTTTCCTTTTTTTGGGGAGCAAATTTATTGGACCGTGTTGTTTTTCTGCGGTTTCTCATCATCGGTAAAAAAAACATAAGAACTGATCCGTCCAACAAGAGCCACCATAAATATTGTACATGTCTGTGTACAGTAGAGAAAGACTGAGAGAGACGTGACATTGTGCCAAACTTTGACACCTCCTGTGCACCCGTCCTGTGGGAATTTAAAGGGACATTCAGTCGAAGGTTACAGACAACAACCGGATGACTCCCTCTGCTGTTTGTAACTTTTATTTTCTTGTGTTTTGATCAGGTGACAACATAACTTATTGCTGGGGATCTTGGGTAACATCTCTCTCCCATAGATGTACAGACCTGCCTCTCTGTGTTTGCTGAGCATGTGTGGGCGCGTGGACACGTGTGTGTATGTGTGTGTGTGTGACTGAATGTGTGGCCCATGTGTGTACACGTAAACTTGAGCGAGCGTATCTATGCATGCATGTGTGTAGTAGTGTGTGTATGCCTCCGTTGTGTGTATGTGCGTTCCTGTACAAATCAGTGTCCGAACAAGGCATTCCTACCGACAGTTTGTCCAGTTTTACAACCATGAAAAACCAAGGTAAAAATCACTAGAATGAAATGTTGATATAGAATGACAAATGTATAAATCTATGAATATAAATATAAATATATATATAATTTTTATGTGCAGATGTCATTGTCACTAAATGCAAGAAAAAAAAAAGATTATGTGGTGTACAACAGGTTCACTTTGACCTAAACGTCGAAACTGCTGATTCCCCCCCACCCCCAACCCCCACCCCTCAATTGAGACAAAAGACAAATCCCACCTGAGGACGCTCAGGCTCTGGTGTGAGTTGTGTGTTGTTGTGTGTCCATGCTTCTTAGATGACCGTGCTGAGAGAGGACCGTACTTGAACACAAGGATAAATAAAGACTCTTTGCAATCAAACACCATGGCCTTAATGTTAATGAACTCCCAGGCTGCATCCACACGCACGCTCGCTCAAAGATGTTTTTTGTCATTTATGTTGTTCTTATCACACAGATCACGACTGCGCAAACTCTCGGTCCAGCTGAGCAAGATGGCTTGTTGGTAACTGGGATATTTTGGTTTTATCTCTGGATAGTGGGAGGAAATCGTACAAAGTATATTCTATGGTTCAAACACCCTGCATCACCTTACCACCCAAATAATAATTTATTTAATAATCAAATCAAATAATTACATTTTAACCAATGTTGGTAGAGAGTACCTAGCCATAATATACCAAGTAAAATTTAACTTCAGTCTATGAATAAAATAAAAAATAAAAAAGCACAGCGCTGCGTACTTTAAATGGTGCACTCGGATTGTTAAAATGGAGCCGATTGTCATTCTTTTGCTCAGTAATTAGTATAAAGTGGCAGTTTGGACGTTTCTCCTGAATATAGTTTCTTGCTGTGACTGAAAATGACGCTAACGAGAGCAGCGAGAGTCAACCACACTGAAAATGACGCTAGAGCAGCGAGAGTCAACCACAGCATCATCATTATGGGCTGTACATCCAAACCAATATCTTCACAACACGTCATGGAGCCGACAACTTTAACATTCACTGTTTCAAGTCATTTTTACGGAAGAAGAATGGGAAAGTCGGCTCGATTTTTAAAATGGAATTCAAAATATTTCACCTCATTCTTGTTCATGGTGACCCCCACTATCTGCTTGTCAAGCTTTAGAAGATTTTACTGTAGAAATATTGAAATAATTAAAGGGAAACTCATCTTAATTTTCATTATGGCTCTCATAACTTGCTCCTATCAAGCCAGAAGATACATCGTCAGCCTATACTTTGCACCAGCCCACAGCCCTACTACAATGATGCAGCACATTCTGAATTTCAGTGAATGTTTCAGCGCCGTATATACGTACCTCTAGTGGTGCAGTGAGATGTCTTTATGTACATCAGACACATCCCCAAGCAAACAATCAATTATAAGTTCAGATTGCTTTCAAACTAACAATTTACCACTGTTGTCTCCCCCTGGCTGACAAGCAACACTGTCCTGATAGCATCATCTTTTCACACACACATTCACTGGGGACTCTACACTGACAGGCATGTGGGAACATGGTCCATAATAATGCTCTGGGTATCACCCCCTATTCATACACACCCCCTCTCCCATATTGTTAATGTGCTTGCATTGCGTAGCAGTGACAGGCGTGTTTAAGCACGACAGGGGTCTTAATATTTCTCTGTAATGTTGCCCCAGAGTGACAGCGGTGGGATGTGGTTAGAGGAGTGTTCATCATCATAGAGATGTGAAGAGCCATCGCCAGTGCTCCTTACGCCCACCAACCTCAATTGTCACATTAACGACAGTGGACAGACATCAAAGATGTAAAGTTCCACTTTGTATATTTCCCGTCGTTCTTGTTCCCTTTTTTTTTCTACAGTGTTCCCATATGACTTTGATCCCATTCATGCAGAAATCCATTGAACTGAATTTGAGGCAAATTAAATGAATGATGCTGAGCTGGAGGAAGCCGTATTTGTTACAGTCCATTGGAATTCATGTCTCCGCTCTCTGTGCTCCCCCCTCTTTTTTTCCCTGTCCCATCTTTGCCGTCTAGGTTAGGTCTGTGAAATGCTGTGTTGAGTAATAACTCCATTGCGTTGATTATTAACCTTCACAATAGAGGCAGGCCTCCTGTGTCTGAGCACAGTTCCATAGTGGAAGGCTGGTATAACTTAATGTGGCATGAAAATAGCTCTTCAATTTTCCTACTCACAGCCTTTCTAGAGACGGCCCTGTTCCACCCTGCAGGTGCCTCAGGCCTTCACTGTTTCGCTCCCTCTCCCTGACTTTCTCTCCCTCTAACTATCGTAGCTTACCATCGCATTCAGCCTGTACACCTCAGGAAAGATTCAAAGGTGGATGTACAGTATGTGCATGTACATATGTATGTGTGTGCACATATGTTGCAGTTGTTTGCACTGTCACAAGTTTTTTCTGCGTTCCACTCTGGCTTCCTCCCACATGCGGTCGAAGAAGTGGTTAAGGTACCGAAAGATCTAAATTGTCAGACGTTGAGAATGTGAGTGTAAATGGGTTTTTGTCTCTGTATGTTCACCTTGTGATACACTGGCAGCCTCTCCAGGGCGTGTACCACCTCTCGCCCAACGTCAAGGGGTATAGATAATGGAATTGATAATGTATGGATGCACATGCATATGCAGTAAATAACAGAATTGAGTAGGAGGGGGACAAAGTGAGATGCAAGGGGAGAAGGAGACAGAAATGCATTGGGGAGCAGGTGGAGGGTCTGTGATTTATCCTCAGACGATTTGACTGTGAAATCAATTTGTGTTTAAAGAGACGTGAGGTGCCGTGAAGCCGCTGTGAGCCACAAATAGACCCAGAGAAATTAATGCTCTCGTCTAAAAGTGAAGGGGAAGGAAGGTTAGTGCCTCAAGGGGAAAGGAGGTGTTAGGTTGGACAAGGAAGAGGAAGATGGAGAGGCAGGCAAAGACTTGTAAATAAGAAATAGGGAAGGACAAGAAGATTTTGGAAATGTAATTACAGGCATAACAGCAGCTACAATGTGAGGAGCAGCAGTAGAATTTAAAGGTCCCTGAAACAATGTCTTGGAAAAAACCAGAAAACTTCAAATTCATTTTTTGGCTCATGAAAAAATAATGAAAATAGGAAAATCTATTTTCTATTTGAGCAGTTTGTCAACTGTGGCTGCAACAGCTGGCAGCTGAAATCAGGTACCCTGTTCAGGGACAAGGTTTGAGTCACAGGTGTTTTTTTTAAAGTTCTGAAAACCTTAAAAAGTTTCTGTAATTTGCATATACCCGGAGACACCGGCTGATAAATATGTGCAAATCAAAGACATCCTGAGTTAAAGTCAGAGAAACTGAGAAAAAAAACTGACTGGAGTGCTGACACGATCTAATCTTTCAGGCTGTAGAACGCAGATAAAGATGAACGATGCGGTTCCACTTCGTCCTTCTATCCAGAAATGAAGCCAGAATATCCCGGACACAAACGCTGCCATCGTGCACATTTGGAGCCAGGTCAGTAGTGATCAGGGGATTGAACCACAGCAGTGAGGTACACAAAATACAATTTTTTTTCACTTTTGGGGTTTGCAGTGATCGTCCATCTTCCAGTCACAATATAAACACTGATTAACAGGTTATTTGTGTATTTATTCATTATATTTTCAATAATAATAACTAACATTGCTTGTAAAACCAAAAAGACACGTCAGGAAGCGTCCCCACAGCCAGATGTTCAATACTGGTTGACATGTGTGTTATCATGGGTCATTTACACCTGCAGGAAGTGACAGTTTCCATTTGATTGTTGCCAAGAATTTAGTCACAGGGCTCCGAGACGTAACAGTGTTGATTGCTACAGCTGAGGATAGTCACAGCAAATCAGGAGTGAGTGAAAACCTTTATGAAAAGCATAGCACAGATTTATTCTAAATAAAGCATTGTTGCTACAATAACATAAACTGCACTTCACACCAATTAAAGAGGTTAGATGTTTAATACAGGGTTGTGTTGCCTGGTGACTATTCCATGTTATTTATTTCTTTTTACAGTATCTCAGATGATTCACTTCTGGAGCTGATCGGTCGAAGGTTAAGCTCAGTAGTGAACATCATTGTGACATCATGAGGAAGTCACAATGAGAAAAACAAGTATCTCTGCATCCTGTAGAACGTCCTGTGGCATAAATGACTTTTATGTGTGTAACTAGAAACTGGGCCCAGTTTGCAGAAGTAGAAGCAGTTCATAAAATAGCAATTACGTTTATTAAAACACCAATGGGTTCTAAGAGCAGCAGACAGATCATTTTTCATTGAGCTGAACTGGGAAAAGATCAGAGCTGGGCAGGTGACAGGAATCATAATGATGTCTTTATGAAACTGCAGTATTACTATATATTTATTGTTTATCATTTACAGCGGAACCTTGTTTTATAATTCACAGGTAATTTGAATTAGTATTTATTTCCTGAATATCTATCCTAATTATACACCACATACAGTAACCCTCATTTAAGCAGCAGGTTGACGAGTGAGTATGTTGCAGTTAAATTTGTGTCTGTGGAGCCATATAATGGTGAGGTCGTGTGCAGTCAGTTTTGAGTTTTCGAGGCACCTGGAAAACTGCCCTCGCTGTAACTATCTAACTTTTCTAAGTGCCAGAGAGGAAAATACCAGTTTCCTGACTGAACTTGACCTCAGCCCTGTGGTGGAGGAGAAATAGAGCAAAGAGAGTAAGGTCTATAAGAAGCATTGCTAATCAATCTTCTAGTTGCACTGCTTCTTCTCTCCTTTCTGTATCCTGCATCCCCTCCACTCTATTTCAGTCTGACTGTGACGGACATGACACAGGCAAATATGTTGCATTATGGATGTTACACACAAACAGACGCACACATGCACAGACATTAACAGCTACACACACACACACACACACACACACACACACACACACCATAAGGCTCCCTGTCAGGTATTGAATAGTCAGTGCTGCAGAGCAGAGCAGACGCCTTGGTTACTCATGTGTGATAGTGGTGCTGCTGCAGTGGCTCACAGAGCAACAACAGGGTGTGCGTGTGTGTGTGTGTGTGTGAGTGAGAGAGAGAGAGAGAAATGGAGAGAATGTATGTGTCAGAGGTATGATTGAATGTGTGTTTGTGTGTGTGTGTGTGTGTGTGCGCATGCACCTGTGTTCACCTGTCAGTCTGAGCAAATTCACTCACCTGTGACGTCCTCATTCTGTCTCTCTGTAAGCCATCACTGAGAGTGCTCCTCTCAAAGGCCCAGGCAACGCACACGTGCACAGAGTGGTATCAGCCATGGGCAGGTGCTGAGATCACTGACTTCTGAAGAGGATTTCTCCTATGGCAGTTTGAACGTGTGCCATATATTTTCACACTAAGTAATGAATGCTCCCTCATCTCTCTGTGTTATTACCTGTGTGTTATGTTTGTCAAAGAGGGAGAAAGGGGCGTAATGAACAGAATGAAGGGTGGAGGGAGAGGAAATGGGAAAGGAGCTGAAAGTGGAGCTCGGTATTTGTCTTTTGCTTCCAAGTTGTGCGTTTTCTCTCAGCGTCTCGTCATCCCTCAGTGTTTCTGGGACATCACAGAGTTTTGTTGGAGTGACATCGATGATGAATCCTGCAGGACACAAACTCCCACACAACTGGAGACATGTCTGTCATGCAGGGAAGCTGCATTCTTCCATCTAGTGGCCACGTACGTATGTGCACACTGTGTGTGTGTGTGCATGGATGTAGGCACTGATAAGCAGAGCAGGGTTGGGCTCAGTAATATGGTTGAAATCAATATCATGTCAAGTGAATATTTTAACATTTTGTTGATTTTTATAGTATTTTGTTAATGGTAAAAAGTTATTTCACAGAAAATGATTATATTTTTTTGGTTTCTTTTCCAAATTTAGTGTAAATGACATGAAAATACAGTAAAATGCTTTTATCAAAAATATTAACCACTAAAAAAAGTTTTTATCTGTATCTGTAGAATAATTAAAAACTAAATAAACTTTACTGTAATTTCCCAGTGAGTGTTAAAACATTTGTTTTGGTAAAGGATACAATTTATAAAATTGCTTTATCTCAATCAGAAGCTTTCTAATGTTGGAAGAGATGTGTCATAGTGATGTCATCAGCATAACCTTAGTTTGGGATTGAAAAAAATATATTTACAGAATCTACAGAGCTACAAACTGAAGGCTCTGATTTTGAAAGTCATCAGAGTAGACATTTGATTGATCGTTGTTTCCGTGTTATCTAATTGATCCTGAAGCATTCCACAGTCCATACATATTTCCTCATGCAAAAATGATTTATAACAAACAAGTAAAAAAACTGCTAAATTCATTATTTTCATCTTTGAAATCCTGTCTCATGAAGCTGAGGACTGTTTATTAGCGTCCAGTGCCAGTCAGGGCCTGAGCTGTTGTTGGCAGTTAGGAGTGACATCTTAATCAATATGTCTTGATAAATAAGAGTTAACAAAGTCCAAACATTTGAATTAAACATCTTGATTCATCATTTTATCAGCAGGTTGGATCCTGACCCACTGGTGAACTCCCGGCCTTTTGATTGGTTGTCAACAACCTCCTCTGGGGACACTAATGCCCTGGCAACAGATTCTTGCACCATTGCTCAGCAGTGTGTGTGTGTGTGTGTGTGTGTGCGTCCAGGCCGATAGTCAACTCTATAATGGTGTGCAGTGTTAAGAGACAGCTGCGTTCCTCACTTCAGAAACTCAGGAGAAATTATGGTATTCTGATTTAGTACATTGTAATTTTTTAATAGCTATAAATATTGTGTTTATGTAACAATTAATGTCACTGCCACATCCTGAACTTTTACTACACACACACTCTCTTACTTCACATTCACCAGTACGTAGATATATCACAAGTATTAATGCACAGCTGTTCTACCAACACCCTTGACAGATACCTATAGATGCCATATGTTTGCAGAACTCTATATGCTATATCAGTCGTCTGATGAACGAACAGAACAAATTAAATATTATCCATACTGTCATTAGTTTCCCTTCTGTCCTCTCGGTTACTTACAACACCTCCAGGCCTCCCCTGCATATCTCAGATTCGCCCAAGGACACTGTCATGTCAACCAATTAATGAGCCACTGTGGACAGTGGGTGGTCACTGAGGTCACACTGTCACACAATTAGTTTCTCTTTCTGTCTGTTTGAATGTTGCATTTTCATGTTCCTCCTGTTTCTGCTGCTGTTATGGCTCCATACAGCAGGTGACGGGTGGAAACAGGCTTCTTCATCAGAAGAAGTCTCCGCTTGATAAATGGTTCCGTTGGACAGCCACTTGAAATTTTATGGAATGGATGACACCTTACATACTATTTTAGTTTGACATTTTAGCATTAGCACTGTTACATCTTTAAAGTCTTCTTTTTCTGTCACAAAACACTTGAGGTGATGCATTGATACTTAATTTATGCGTCGCTGCAGCTCCTTTGGGGACACAGTCACATTTCTACAGCCAGTCATTCCACTGTTGTACCTGGAAGGGACTTTTTTTTGGCCCACACTTGCATTCATGATTTGGAGTAAAGTAATTTCAATGGACAAAAATCAGACAAGAATAGCATTAAAAATACTGTCATAAATATTGATAATACACTCAATAATAATTGAATTTCAGATTTATTTCTTAGAAACTGTGTATGCTGCTGTATTTTGATGTACCCCTTTATGATTTGAATATGTGTGTGTGTGTGTGTGTGTGTGTGTGTATTGTATTTGCCTTTTGCTTTGCTGTCAAAGCACTTTGTAAACTCTGTCTTTAAAGGTGCTATATACAGTTTGTGTGTGTGTGTGTAGATGAGCACCTGCATATACAGGTAATATTCACAAGTAAAAATACATTATACTGTCATAAAAGAACAAAAACACTAATATCCAAGCAAAACCACTCTATTACAATAATAAAAGTGTAATTTGGTAAAAACAAGGAAGGCAATACAACAAAAGTACATTTAAAGCTTTGATTCATTCTGCTGTATTTCCTCAGTGCTCTTATTTCAAAAGCTTTGTCCAAATACACATTATGTATATATTTAAATAACAGTTCATAATATATATATATAATTCCCTTATTCTGACATCACCTTGGACATGACTCGTGCGACTGACGTCAGCGCGCTCCTTGCGTCCCCTCGCCGCCCTGAAGGCTGGCGCATGACGTCACCACGCACCGTTTCCAAACAATAATCGAGGAAAAGCCACGTTGACGTTCCAGACTCAAGTGAGCTCCAGAATCAAGCTGAAAGATTTCAGTCGCGTCCCGACGCTCCGGCTCCCTCACCTCGCCTCAGAGTCCCGCTCGGAGCTGACATGTCGTCACCGCCGAAGGAGAAGGTGGAAACCAAAGGAGGACACCCCCCCGCAGGTAAAGATCCACGGACTGTCCGTGCTGCTGCTCAGAGCTTCACACTAACTCGAAGGCCTTTGTGTTCTGCAGGATGTCATTGTCTTAGCTAAAAATCAAAAATCACATGACGGTGACTAACAGACTGCACAGAGGCTGAAGCAGCTGCTGACAACGTGGCTCCGTGGAATCTGCTCCATTCGTACATTTCCTCACTTCCTGATCCAAGAGAGATCTCTGCAGCCCCAGTAGAACATGGACATCCCGTGCTCTTATATGAGGGTTTCATGTGTTTTATATGTGTCCCTGCGTGTCGATGACGTGGAGGTCACGCAGAGAGAGAAAACTAAGGTGTACGTGGACATGAGCAGTGGGCCACCGCGGCTGCAGGCCTGATAGTGAGATAACGAGTGGGACCTCGCTCCCAACCTGTGATTAGAGAGGAGGCCCAGGGAAGCAGATTAAGCAGGCCTGCAGGTGTGTTGCTGTGGGTGTGTGAGCCCTGACATTATCATTATTCTTATCTGTAGAGAGGTCAGAAGTCACAACAACTGTCCTGCAGCCGCTCAGAGTCTCTTGCTCAAGGGCACAAGTCTTTTAGTTGAGGGATAATCAAACTAGCTATGCCTCCCAGCAGTTTATTCACCAATTAATGAATCAAATTGTTTCTCGATAATACTTATTAACTGTTTAAGTTTGCCAGTGCCGTCATCAAACCATCATCACACTTTTAGGCCGTTCTGTCACAGATGGAACCTATCGAATCAAAGTGTTACGTGTCTTGGTATCTTCCTTATCTTCCTTGATAGAGGTCACAGAAATGCAGTGAAAGAACTTTAAAACGATATGAGAACCATTTCTCTGTGACCTACATTAAGAGAGATATGAGAAGTCAAAGTCTCCTCCAGAAACTTTGTTTTTCCATTGACCGGGATCAGTGACACATGACATGTTGTTTCTCATGTGACCAAATCAACACGTCTAATATCATTAAGTTCCACTTGTTTGTTAAATATCTATCTTTGTATTTCCTAATTCTTCTACATTTAAAATGAATTACACTTATGAGCTCTTGAGGTAATGTCCTTCCCTGATTGTTTTTTTAATTTCCCTCCTTTGTTGGTGTGTTGCAGTGAAGGCAGGAGGGATGAGGATAGTGCAGAAGCACCAGGTAGCTGCCGTCCCAGAACCACTGCCGAAAGAAGACGACGACGAGGAGTACGTCAGCAGCAGGTAACAAACCCACGCAGTCCTGCAGAGTGAACACAGAACACGACCAAAAACAAACACAAAATTAACCACAAAGAGATAAAATCACTGCAGAGATGTCAAACGACGAGAGGAGAAACTCGAAACGGCCATAAAGATTTGGAATAATTGCAAAGAGGGAAATGACCACAGATAGACTCAAAATAACCAGAGAGGGATGTAAAACAATATGACTTACCACTAAGAGTTAAATCAATAGCAAAGAGAGACAGAACAGCTGCGAAATGGTTTGAAATGACCACAAATAGACTCAGAGTGACTACAAGAGAAAGATATTAGAGATGCACAATAACTGAAGAAACAACTGCAGAAAAATGCTTAATGACCACATGACTGCCATGTCATCTTCAAGTTTGAGTGTCTTGATCTCAGGGGAGGGGAGGAGCTCACTGTGAATCAGTCTGTGCTCATGCAGCTCACACATGCAAGCGTTTACTAAAGTAAATCTGAGAGACCGTCGAGTGCGAGACTGTGCGACTCCATGGCTTGTTAGTAAGATATAGCTCCCACACAAATAATAAACAATGCACCACGCCTGCTCTCACTTTTCTGTAGGGCTGCACTGTATGACATTTTGCTGCAGACCCCTTGTGTGCTGTTGCCACAGCATAGATGACTAATTAGAGAAAACAACATAATTGCTGCATAATTACAGCATTAGTATCAACAACCCATTTAGCTGTTTTCCGTATAAGCATGTTAGCTTGAATCCATTGTTTGTCCCTCTGTAGATCCATTGTGTGAATTGGGTGGCGCATGTTCATGCTTATTTTCAGTGTGTGTGTGTTTGTGTGTGATATTAAGAGTAAAAGACAATTGTTTTTTTTTTTAAATGAACGTTTTTTTGTTTTATTCAATAAATAATATCCGAGGAGAGAAATGGAGGGGAAAAAATTGTTAATGCCGACGTCTGCCTGTCTGTTGAGTTGAAACTACTGGACATTGTAATGACTTTAATTTTCTAATTACTGGTAATTCAATTCATTGCCTTCATTGTCATTGCACAGTGAATAATGAAATGATGTGATGGTACAGATGGCTACATAACTCACAGACAAAGTTGTAGTCCAACAATTAACTGTATAAAAACTTCTATAACAAACACATAGTAAACAGAAATCCACTTAATGGAGAGCAAAGCTGCTGCATCTGTTCATGCCATTTAATTTTTTAATATAACTATGAAGTACTTTTCAATTTTTATATTTATATGTCTGGAGTTTATGGTTTGAGGCTTTATTATGATCCAAGCACACAGTCTTAATAACATGGAGCATTTAGGACCTGTGCAAATCCACTTTTGCTACTTTAACCGTGGAAAAGTCTTTTGACTCTAAAAAAGAAAAACACCATTTATGTCAGTTTAATTTTTGCAATTTAAAATGAAAATCAAATAACCAATGTGGTGTTTTTTTTAAATAGTGATTACGCCCACATACGTCCACTCAATATTCATGAAGGCCTGTCGGCTGTGTGCTTATTGGTACAGGTGGCATGTTCACACCACATATCAGTTGGTGTGTGTATTAATGAGAGGTGATAAATGGGAACTGACATGCAGTGCAGTGTAGCAACAGAGTTCAAGTACTTTGCCAACTGTCAAGAATTTTCCCGTGCATGTACTTCATGCGTGCAGCCTCACACAATTTATCGTATGTTATGCTCCTCTTCTCTTTGCCCCAAGATGATTGACACAAATAGAAATAGCATTTACAAAACCAGTTGAAAGTTTTGAAAGGAAATTGTCCAAAACCCAAATATTTTAAGTTTACAGTGATATAAAGCAGTGCAAGGCAGAAAAAACTTCCATCAAAGAAGCTGGAATCAGGCAATTTGTGGTATTTTTGCTTTTCATGAATCAGAATTCAGATTTCAAAGAAATGGCTCCCTACTGTTTTTATGATTATACTATCTCCTTTATTACTTGCTTTGCTTCTCACTTAAAGATGCAGCCAGCGAAATGCCTGAAGTACAAATTTTAAAAAAAATGGTTCTGTAAACTGGCTAGAGAGCCATACAGCGTTTAATAGCAGCCTGAATATTTATTCTGCGAAATATTTCCTCTTTATACGTTGCAGTCAAGGAAGAGGAAATATGACTGGGGCAGTGAAAATAAATTATATAAATAGCGCATTTTAATCACGGAGGAACCCCATTTTAAATCGGCCTTCAACTTGATTAACTCCCTTTGGCCCGGCCAGTTTACCTTTTTCTCGTGAAACGATCATCTTGAACTAAAAATTATGTGTCAGCCCATCCAAAATAATATGCAGAGCACCTGCACTGCATCGATAAATACAGTTGGTGAAACTCTCACACACACTCTGTCCCTCTCTGTGTCACGGTGATGGACGTCTAGCAGGTGGCTGCTGGGTAAATTTCACATTAGTAGCAGCCAGTCAAGCGTTGTAGTCAGGGGAAAACCTGCCGCACCCAATCTAGCTGAGATGGACAGATGGGGCAAAGAGGGAGAGATAGGTGGCTGGGTATGGCGAGGAGGAGAGGGAAGGATTATTTTGGTATGGCGGCCGGAGGATGCCGTGGCGATACGAAGAGGCATTACTCAGTAAGAGAGGGGGTAATAGAAGAAGGGAAAGGTTGGAGCAGAGGGCGTGAGATACGGGCAAAAAGCATAAATGAAATGGAGTGCTCCAGCAGAGGCTTCCTGCTCACCAAAGCCCATTTTCCACTGGTCAAAAAAACACTAACACACACTAACAATGAAAATGGATCAGGGTCACATGACAGGTGTTAAAAGGCTCCGGTTCTGATCTGCACTGATGGCAACAAGACACCCGGGTGAACATGACATCGAAAATTACACATCAGGGAAAAAAAGTGAAACTCTTCAACAGGCAATGGGAAAGGAGACAATTGTCTTTTTTAGGGGTTTTACCTGCGTTTAAAAAAGATTGGTGTAAAAGAGGTGTAACTGCCTGATGGATGCATTTCTCAAAAGCACCAGGAACAAATCTACTAACTGTTGATGTAAAAATAGCGATGGTGCTGTGAGAGATTGAGAATCAGAGGGAAGAGGTGGTGAAAGAGCAAAATGGATGAAATGATTTTTTTTCACTCAGTGCTCGCACATTTTTTGTTTTTTTTGATGAGACTATCTGTGAAAATGTGTAAAGACAACATGATCATGGGCCACATGTCTGTTTGCGCTGTCACCTCCCCTACATGTTTGGTCGGGAGGTGGATGTGTTCCTGACGCTCAGATAAAGATGAGCTGGTGCTGTATGTGTAGGCTTTGCACATGTAGCAACTGCAGTCGACTGTGCAGAAAGCAGACAGCCCATGGTTAAAAAAGAAAGTTGAGAGGAGACAGGCAACAGGCATAAGTTTCTATAGCAACCACCACCTCGCCCACAATAGAAAGATTCCTGCTCTGCTGAAGCGAGAGAGAGATGGGTGGGGCAGTGGTGGTGGTGGTGAAGCTAAATATAGAGATGGCGAAACCTGGAAAAAGCATTCATGTACATTTGACTCTTTTTCAGTTATTTGTTCAGATTTGCATTCTGTACTGTATCTGCCTCCCTCTTTTTTCCTTCTCGTCCTCCCCCTCTCCTCTAACACTTCGCCTCCTTTGGCACGAAACAAACTCCTCCCCAGGATTCCCCACAGCTCTCTACTGCCCCCCGCAGGCTCCCTCTGTCTCCTGACGCAGCCACACAACCACAGCAGAGATCCGTCACTTTTGCTTTGCCTCGTGTGCCCTTTTCCAAGTTCAGCTTTCCATTTCACCACGGAGGTAGAGAGCCATTGGTCGCATATTTCTTATTTCTCATGCTCTCGTGTTGTGTCTAGATTCAGGTATGGCGGCGCATCGTGCCGTTTTCTGAATCCTTGATTAAAAAAGTCTTCACACTGATCGTCTGCCGTCTGTTTAATAACCATCACTAAAATATGTCATGTGTCTTTATAGTATCTATATTTTCTGTCTGTCTGACTTTAAATGAAAGGTTTCATACTTGTGACGGAGTCTCTGACAGGCTGACACATCACTCGTGTTATGTCTGTCTAGACACATCTGCAGACTGCCTTTTGTTGGAGGGATTTTAAGGCCAGAGAGATGGAGCAAAGTTTGACACTAACAACATTCAAATGCAGTAGTTTTACACCTCCCCTTCCTCTGCAGTCAGTAAATCAGGATTTATCCTCGGATTGATCATGGAGGCAGATGCATGTAACAGTCCTGCATAGGGTGGATACAACCCATGTGAATGTCATAACTCACTTTAGCTACTGTTACATATGTACTCCTCAATGTATAATGTTTTTGTCATTCATCAAATAGCAGCTGACTGGGCTGTTTTCATCATTGTAGGAGCTGACTGTTTATAAATCTAGTTTACTGCTAGAAGGGCTTGTTGGATTGAATGAGGAAGTCTGGGATCTCGTAATGCCAGCATTCTATTTTTCTCTTAACTACCATGGGTGTAATAAAAGCAGATACTCCTATGCAGCATGGTCCTCCTAAGATGACATTTGTACATAAACATATGCGATGAATCTGTTTTCTTCATCTGACACATGCAGACCAATTCTCCAGTTCTGTCGCTCATATATTGTTCAATTATTTAAGATTCCACTTTGAAGCCGAATGTTAGCTCGAAGCTTGCAAAACCACTTCAGTATTAAGTTGAATGAGGAGCACTTGTTAATAGTATATGCTCTGGTTTAGTTAATTGAATTGCCAATAGGAGGAAACCATAGCGATAGACACAGCACTTCACAAGTTTCAGTCAGACAACTCACGTTCAAATGTTTATTGCAGCAGTAGAACAGTTTGTGTTTGGCATCTAGGCTCCGACTTAATCACTCCCCCTGATATGATTACACAGATATGATGGAAGTGACGAGCAAATACTTTCGGATACGGTCGGAGCCTAAAGGTGGATGCTGGGGTGGTGGAGGGGCTGAAGCAACTGGTAGCAATACTGCAGCAGCATTGCGAGCAAAGGGGTTGATGGGAAATTTCTCTCTGCTTCAATAGGCAGCCTAATAAGGTGGGCGTGTATAATAGATGATTGTGGAGAATGAGGTCTGTCACATGATTGGAGCAGCGCAGCTGGAGTTGGCTGCCTGAACTAGCTCGAAGGGTTCGCTCCATTCACGGTGTGAACATTTGACAGGTCTTCTTTGACGTGCTGTCATTGGATCCCAGAATAAGAGCATGTTTTGAATTTACAACTTGTTAAAAATCGCATTTACTCCAATGGTTTTAAAATGACTATACTTAAAACATTAAAAAGAGAGCCTTAAAATGAATCTCAAGGCTAAAAGCTCCACTGACTTCAGGGTGAGGGGCCAATGTGCTGATTCACCATTAGATTAGGTTGGTGACGTGGCATTTTGATTGTGAGTAGATCGTCCAAAGGTAGCGCTCTGGATTTGTTCGCCCAACTTAAAAGTTGTATACAACTGTGTTTGTGTGTGTGTGTGTCGAGATTGATATCTTGCACTCAATTTGATAAGATGTGCTGTGTATATTTCCCTAAAACCTCAACCCCACATTTAACAAGTGGTTATTGAGGAATTCAACATATCCAAGCTTTAATCTAACAGCAAGGTAAATATTCTGATTGAGATAAGCAGCAGAAGGCAACTCACTGCCAAGATGTTGATTGCAGAGATCCTTAACCATTTCTAAGTAATGTCCAGATGTTGTGGAATTCGAAGCAGCGTGGGTGCTGGCGGTTGAGGTTGCACTTTGTCGTCCGTGTCCGAAACTTTTAATCTTTTCAACATATTTAGGTTGTTAATGGGGTAAGCTCGGAGCTGGACACGCTCGCTGTTATAACTAACGTCATTGACTGGAGTGTTGAAGGTGGCTACCACAACCGTACTCTTTTGCCCAGGGGGGGTGACAATGTCATAAATTTCAACGCCGCTCATTTGTCAAGTCAAGGTCGATACTTACCTCGGGTTCCACATTTCTCCTCCTCGACTTTTCCCTGCCTCCATCCCTTCCTCTACGTCTGAGTGAGCGCTCGCCTCCCTCTCTCCCCTATTGTTTCCCCCAATCCTCTAACAGTCCGTTATTATATTGGTTTTTTTGCTCCTGTGTTTCTGTGCCCTCTCATCTCTCCTTGCCACTTTCCACCCTCCTCTGTCTGCCCTGACCTGCCTTTAGCCCTGATCTCCCTTCCTCTACTTTTCCCTTCTCCTTACCAAATCCTGTCTTTGTCATCATCTCCCTCCTTTCCAACTTTCTCCTTCCCTCTCTCCCCTCCTCTCCTCCTGTCATGCTTTCATCCAGAGGCAGTGAGCCCTGGTGTTTGGCCAGGATGAATTGGAGCTATTTAAGCTACTGGCAGGTCGTGTGTGTGTTGGTGTGTGTGTGTGGGTGTTATGTGTGAGGACAGGTGAGGATGTTCGTGTTTTGGTGTTCTGTGACTTCGTGTGGGGGCTTGACATGGCCAGATGGGTAACCTTTCATAAACGTTGCCATTCTGTAAGCCTGTGCAGTGTATGATTAAATCACACACACAATCACCAGAGAGAAAAGCCCAAGATACACACTCTGCTCAATGTCAGTCATGTTTTTATACTGAAATGTAATTTTCATTCTTTCTCTTTATCTCTCTTTCTTCTTTAGTCCACCAAAGGCTCCTGTGATCGTGTCTGGAGTGGTTACAAAGGTAAGACACACACACACACACACACACACACACACACACAACCAGTAATGTTGAAGTAAGCACTATGAGCTGGTCTATATCTGGGGCATGAGCTCAACAGGGAGAGGTTGAGGCTCAGTGCTGTGATAAAATGAGAGAACAGTATAAAAAATTTTTTTTTTTAAAGAGACTTTTCTCTCTCCACTGTTGCCAAGTGCTTGATCGCTGTGGGAGAACTGTTTGGTTTCTCTCTGTAATATTCTCAAAATAATAATAGCTATTTTATTTTATGTAGTAATAGCTGCTGTAGTCTGTATTATGTGTAGTCTCTTAAGACTTACCAGTATGTTGAACCACCGTACAAAATAACCACCACCACATTTTGCAACTGAATTTAACCCACAGCTAGACACAGCTTCAACAATATATATGTTCCAGTGGTACAGCTGTTCCTCCGACTGTGGGTTTTAGCAGCCTTGACCTGCCACTTTAAAAAAGGGTTGAAGTCTGTGAATAGCTTCAGCCATTTTGTCGCATATTGACAGTTTGTCGTCCTTATCGGGGCAGAAAGCTGTGAATCAATACATGCATAGTTGAAGACATGTTTTAAGATCATGTCGGGCTTAAAAGGAGTGATACAAGGGACCATGAATGTTAAAAAGCACCTCATTAAAACCATAAGTGATTGGTTAGAATCCCACAATAGAACGAATAAATAATTAAGAGGTCTTAAAGACCACAGACACAGGTGGGTCTGAAGAAATACAAGTTATGTTATAATGACAATTTGTGATAAATAGTAACACTATAGCCATAATGGGAGAGGTATATTGATATCAAACTGATTTAGATTTACCAATTTTTGTGCATGTGGGGTAATCAATTTGTTAAATTATCTTAAATTACCAACATTTGATAGTTCATTTAGAATTAATTCCAGTTAAAATTGTACAATGTTTTAAAATGGAGGGATGGGCAATTAGTATTCAGGGTTAAAGTAGAGCAAGGAAATCAAGGTAACGACAATGTAGTGTCATCTTTCCTCTGAAGTCATGGAGACGTGTGTGTGGTTAAAAAAGTGTCCTTGACTGGCTGAAAGGCTCTGTATCCTGCTGTGTGTCTGTGTTTGTGTGTGCCTGTGTGTGTGCTTGCAAAAGATAGCGTTGATATCAGCAAGGTGGCAGGCATCCCATTTATCCCCCTGATCCTCCTCTAGCCTTCCCATTTGCCCCCCTATCACTGCCATCAAACCCAGAGGCAGGCACTGCACAAAGCCTCAGAAAAGCCTCACAGGAGCTAAGTGAAACACTTGTGTGTGTATTTCTGTGTGCGCAGATTGTGTGGTCCCCTGGGAAAAAAATAAAAATAAATAAAACATTTCCTGGCTATGTATTTTCTGCTTTTCTCTGGAATGGTAGAGCGGGACACTAGAACTCTGTTGTATAATAAATGTTATGTGATGATTAAACCAAGATCATGTTCACATCAGTCAATAAACGTCAAGATAATTGTCATTTCTTTTGATTTTAAAGACAAATTTTTGCTCTTGAGTGAAAGTTGTGGTTTTCAAACACTTAATAAACAGCAAAGCATTTTACAAAAAGGTCATCAACTTACTTTTTTACCTCCTCACTGTGCTTACGCAATGCATCATCAATATATCGATGTATAATGACTATTTGTTATATTGCAATCGATGAAAATTATATTGCAATAATAATTAATTATATTCTTGTTATTGCCCAGCCCTAGAAGCTGTATGCTCATTTATTTTTTCCTGTAGCCGGGATCAGACTGACTACAAATTCTTATCCTGTGCTGCCAAAGAATAAAATTTTCCTCTAGAGATCACAAAGGAAGATGTGTTATTAAAATCCAGATCCAAAAGAAGTATTTTCATACTTTTATTTTACAAGATTTGTTCCCATTTAAAGATTTGAATTTATTTAAGAAAATTGATTGTATAATAAATAGCAAATATGCTATAACTTCTCCAGATAGATTGATATAGTTATACATAAACTAAAGTAGGACACCAGGAATCACAGTTTGCTGCAGTAATAGAGTTAATTTGTTGAATTCCCTCCTGTACGTCTGCATCAGTGGGATGGAGATAAAGAGGTTCGAGCTTCAGAAGAGAAGAGAGGAGAGGGCCTAATGGAGGTCAGATCCATCCTCTTCCCAATACAGTTAGCAATGGAATTGGCTCTAAATCAAAGGAACACACATGAAAATGTTTTGTGCCCACCTACACACAATGTGCAGACATGCAGGGGAAAAAAATAAGCACATACAGAACACGGCCAACACACCCATGCAGAGGGAGGATTAGGGTCACCACCAAGCAAGGATGGGGTGGGCGAGTAAAGTTCAGCGAAAGGCTTAGAGACGCAGTCGATGTGTGTCTGTATGTGTAGAGCATGGATTTAAATTGGCTGTATCACTTTATCCATGTGGAAATCCGAAGAATTACGAATATCAAGTGACTTTCACATACGCCAACATCTGGACAGATAATCAGCAAAACACCAGTATAACTAAGTACTATAGTCCAGTATTATAAATTATAGAATTAAAACCGTCAATAATAAACCTCTCATTTATGTATGCAGCAAAGTAATGTGTGTTTATTGACATGTGAGTATGCAGTGCCACAGCTCATCATTTATCCACACAAACTTTCTGTTTTCGCATAAATGGAGTTGAGGAAAGGAGAAAGGAGCAGGTGTAAGAAAAGGAAAAACCCAAAGAAAGCTGCTATGTAGAGATAAAAAAAAAAAGAAGTAAGGATAACCTAGAAACAAGAGGAACTGAGTCATACTCGTTGAAAGTCTGACTGGTTTGGAAGATTCGTAGCAGAAAAGTTGCAGTGAAGCTTGTGACTGGTGTCAAGTGACAAATGTACAATGACAAGAATCTAAAATATGAAGCTCTTCATGTGCAGTTAGTTCTATGGGAACATCAGCTGTCGTTTCTTTAGGCTTCATGTGATGGGAAACTGCTTCAAAACTGCAAAATTCTGGTCATCATGAGTAAAGAAGCCCATCTGACTGGAGCAATGTTGTAGTCCCTTATTTTGGGAGCAATTTCCTCTTGTTTAGTGCACACAATATGCTTGAACTAATTATAAGGTTATAGGGCCTGTAAGGATTAGCTTCTTAGCCTTTTATACCGTGGCACTGAGAGTTCAGATAGACGGAACGCATTCACATGGAGAAAACATCTTGAGTGCTTTGAGCTCTCAGGGCCACCGTACATTTGTGTTGAAATTTAAAGCTTTAAATACAGGTCACTCATCTCTAATGTCCTGATCACTGACTTTGTTCTGTCCAGGGTGATAAGGACTTCACCCCAGTTGCTGCCCAGGTGGCCCACCAGAAGCCCCAGCCTTGTGTTCCCAAGCTGTCCTCTGTCCAGCAAATCAACCAGCACATCCACCAGCCCCGCAAGTGAGCCAGGCACCAGACTAGAATGGCTCCGCTAACTCCACCAGCCGGCCTTCCCAACGAAACACAGAGGATGAAGAGGTTTCCCCACTCGGCACAGATCTCCCCCAAAATAATTGAAGTAATTTTTGTGACCCTGATGCTAAAATGGCCATTGTAGGAGGCCCACTCTTTACACCCTTGCTGCAGTGGTGCAACTAAGTGCTGCAATTTTGGATCCATTCCTTAAGAGAGGTTGTAATAACAGTTGTACAGTCTTAATATGGTATAAATGGGCTGAGGGTTTTCTTAAATGGCTATTTTAATTGGATTTAATTGCTGAGAAACTGGTCTTAGATCTGAGTCTCTGGGGGGAACTCTTACTCCACCGATGTGCTGACCGATACCACGTCACTGCAACCAGCCAATTACGACATATCTGTCAATCAGGCCCACTAGCCAACCAATCACCTCCCAGTGATGAGCCCAGGCTCCAGCCTTCTACCAACGAGCTTCACAGACCAAAAGAACCAATCGACTAATCCAAGAGGTGGACAAAGGTCTTACACGATCGCCACAAACCAAAACCACAGAGAGCACCTATCTAAATTGCAAGAATCAGTTCGATGCAAGTGTATCACTGAGACCGTTGCCAAAGTGCATGTGCACAGCCTGGACCAGAGGAAGTAAAAGTAGAGTGTTACATGAGAGCACTAACCCGTCATTAGCCCAAATACTGAGGTTACCATCGACTGACAAGCATTCCTTATGATGCCTTCCCCCATATCCCCAGAAGAAATATCCATCAAAATTAGATATGACTCATCAGAGTTTTGAAATATATCCACACTAGAGAAGAAACAGATTTTACAGATGTCAAGTAATAACAAATGAGATGACCCATTTTTCTGTAATGATGGCCATCATTACCCAGGATGTTACCTGATGCATGTCCTTAATGTTGTGACTCAATATGGCTACTTAGAATTATAGCAGAAGTAAACGATGCTGCTTCCCTCTTGCTACAGTGTCCCCCCCGTCCTTACCTTTAAAAGAGAAGAGCCTCTCTCTCCTCTCATCCACTCTCCTAGCAATGTCGACAAATTTTAATGCAAACCTGCTTCGTCGCAAAAAATGTCCCCCACTGTGCAGCACACGCAAGCAGCGCACACAAACGTGCACCTACCTTTTTCCTTAATCACCAATCCCCTTACACTCAAGTGTCATTTGTTGCAACAACAGCAATGTTCAGGTTTCCAGGAAGGAAAGAAAGAAAATAAATTTACCTTACCAAGAATGAATGATCTCATATGTTAATTTAATTAAGTTTAAGAGTTTTATTTTTGTTTTGTTTTTCTGTTCTTTTTTTATCATGAGTAAATTGTTCAAATTGTACAAATCTTTAGTCGATGAGTGGACTTGGGTAGTAGGTGTGGTTGTCATAGTAAATAAAGATATTGACTATCTTGACATGTCTTTTTAAGCTTGTCTTTGGGTGAGAGGGGCGATGACTGGACAAAAATATTGTGTTGTTTTAGCTCACTACTACATAAGAGGAATGACAGATTTGTGACATTTTATACATTTTAAATGAGTAAATAGTTTTTAGGAAGTTCACCCGTCCTCTTGAGAATTTGAGCGTCCTGTGGTGAATTAGCACCTTGCTCCAAGGGATGAGGGCTCAGCTGGTGTTTGCAAATGAAACAGAAGCATCTCTCCGAGAGCTGTTTTTCCCTTCAAAACACACACACACACACACACACGCACACACACACACACACACACACACACACACACACACTGTGCACCAGGTGTTAGTGCATGTAATCCATTTTTACGCAAGCATCTGTACCAAGGTATTCTGTCAGCTTATGTTAGCCCAATAAACCAGCCAGTGCTGGCTTAGTTGGTAGGAGTCTGTGGCGGCAAGCTGAAACACCCCATTATAGCAGACACAATGTCCTTGACTCTCCGTGTTTGTATGTAGTTCTCTCAACATGGCAGACCTCTCATCCCCTGCCGTGTCCTATTAGACAGACTAGAGGAACACAAAGAGAGTATTACTGCTAGAATATGTCATAGAGACCCTGCGCAGGAGCCTCTGGTTGTATGAGTCTGAATTGCACAACAAAGACGGTAAATTGGATCCACACGTCTTCTAAAATACTTTCATAGCTTGTCTACTCCATAACACTGACAATTAGAATCCCCCTTAATTTCAGTACCAGCAACAACAAAAATCTGCCCATGAGCAAGGCACTGCCATGTGATGTAGGTATAATTTGGCACTTTTACTAAAAAAAAAAAAACAGTAACCATGACTCTGCAGGCAAAATAGATTTTCTGTCTGTGTCGATCTGACTCCAAAACACGGTTGTTGTTTTTTTAGCTAGTCTTCCACCACCATAAAAACAATCAAGGTTATGGCACTTCACCCTCAGCACTGAGCCATTCTCATTTAGCGGCACTTTATTACATTAGCTTTGAGTACACACCACTAGTTGCCGCCGGCCATGTGGACCTCAGGAACATTAAAACTGGCTTCAACTAGCTGGGACGGAAAATCGTCCATCCATGCCTCTGTTTGCTCAGGCAACAGCAGGAGGAGGAGGAAATGTTGGTCAGGTCAGGAACACGTGAGATGTGCACATAGTCGGGTTGATAAGGCAGCCGGGCTTAATTCACAAAGTTACTGTGACATTTTGGCTCCAGTGTTACAAAAAACGAGACAGATTTCTCCTCCTACTTCTGCTTTTTTTTTTTTTTAAATCAATATTCCAACTATCACAGGAAACACTCATCAAGCAGCATATATTATGTCAAACTAACCCATTTACTGTCATGTTACTGTTGATAGAGATGGTAGAGTACAGTACTTCTTTTTTTACAAAGTTTGTTGTTATCAAACCCCCTGAGAGATGTTTTTTAATGTGTTTGCATAAGAAAGCTATTCTCTGCCAAGTTTTCCCCCACTTTTAATCAATAAGGGCACCACCACTCTGAATTCATTTTTAGTTTGTACATTGTAAATAATTTTGGTGCTGATTTACATTCAGGATGTGATCATTTATTCATACTTTCCAGCCTTTTCACAAATGGAATTCATTACCAAGGACCTACTTTATCCGTGATTGCATCAGAGTATAATTTCAAAACCAAGAGGGGGAAAAAACTAATTATATTGCACCCATATTCTGAGGGATTGTACAGATTACATTTGAGGTTTGATAGATCCGATTATACAGAGAAACTCATTGTGACCATAAGAATAAGAAGTCTGGCTATGAAAATATGGCTCAGGTCATTTATCCTGCTTTCAACACGTCAACTATTGTACATCTCAAATATATATTGGACCTTGATATGCACTGTTTGTTACGATCACGTTATATGTTTCACATATGGTCACAATATTTTGGTTCATTGGTGTAAGAGATCACATTAGAATGGAAATCTTACTGTCGCCCTCATGTTTTTCAGGATCTATTCTCCTGCTCATTCATGCAATATACCAATCACAGGGCAGCAGTGTGGTGCAAATACCTGTGCAGACACAGGTTAGGAGCTTGAAGTAATGATATGTGTGTTGTGATTGTCTGCACCAGACAGGTTGTTCTGAGTATCTGAAACTGCTGATGTTGATGTGAGACTAGTCTAGAAGAAGAAGCTGCAGTGACACATAACACATAACCACTCTTTACAACAGTGGGTGGGCAGAACAGCCTCTCAAGAATGCGCTACACGTCCAACCTTGGGGCAGATGGGCCACAACAGCAACAGAGGTGCTGGGTTCCACTTGGCTGTCAGCCAAGAACATATGTCTGTGGCAGCCGTGTGGCCCTGGCTCGCCGACATGTACTGGACACTTTAAGACGTTTAGCCTGGTCTGCTGAGTCTTGATTCCTGCTGATGCACACAGATGGTTGGGTGGGAATGTGGTGTCGACAGCATGAAGCAATAAACCAAACCTGCCTTGCATCTTAACAGTTAGCTTTATACTTATTTTTTGGACCTACGTTTCAGCTGTTTTGTTGATATAGTGCACATATTTCTCCATACCAAATATATCTTAATACCTTTTATCAAGAGGATAGTAAATACTACCATGAGATGGATGAGGTATGGTTCAGGAAAGAATGCATTCATTTTCGGGCTTGATATCAGAGTGTGCGCAATTTTTGAAAATTTAAATGTGGTGTCATAAGGGGACAGTTGGGCCATGGCAGAGGTTTGAACCCTTCTGAGTGTCATTTGAGCTAATATTTTGTATTTCCATTTAGATCTGAATATATTTCTATTCTCGATTTGAGCTGTACTGTAACGAAACCCAATTTCTCCTGAGGATCGATAAAGTATTTCTGGTCTTGATTCTGTGAGTGGTGTAATGGTGTGGGAAATGTTTTCTTGTCACACTTTAGGTGATTAATACCAATCAATTATGGGTTGAATGCCACAGCCACATAGATGTTGGAATCGATGCCACAAAGAATGGAAGCTGCTTTAAGAGTAAATGGAGGCCCTACCAAGCGTTAGTGTGGTGTTCCTAATAATTGCTCAAAGCTGTGGAGGAAACCGTAAACAAGGAATGACTTAAATGTGCACCTTTCTGAATCAGTTGTACAAAGGATGTTGGACATATAATTGGCCCCTTTGTGTATATTGTGTCCCCTGATTTAGAACCCCCCCCCCCCAGAGATACGCCACTGTGCACAGTATTTCAGGCTTCAGCTCATTAACTAACTCAGGAAGTCTTATCTCGTCGAGGATTATCGTCAGTGCTTACATGTACTGTATGTAACATGCAGAATTTCTCATATGTAGTTCCAAAGCCAAACCAGCAGGGGGCCCTTGCCAAGGATTTCCCCTCTCCAGGTTTGACAAAGGCATTCAGTGCTGATATATAGATTCAGGTCATCCGGTGTAAACATCACCCAGCATCACAGCACGATGACATAACAGCAGTCATTGTGTCAGTGAGTGGCGCCCCGCTCTTTTGGCCACTTCTGAATTTCCTGTGAGGGTGATTTGGGTCAGGGTGGAGGCGGAGGAGAGGAGGGTGGGAACTGGGGGAATTGCTGAGCAAGCCTGTAGCGCTTCATAATCTCAGGTTACAATCTAAGCCAACAGCTGTTTGAGCTACAACGATGACCTCAATATCATCCAATGCATACAGGGGTAATAGCTTTTGTCCCCCCCCCCCACACACACACACACAACCACTCATGATGCGGTTCATGCATTCGCACGATGCATGAACTTGGTCTAAATGAACATATTACGCACAAATAACATGATTCTAATAACTTCCCATAAATAAAAGCATGGAATCTTTCTTCAGGTGGTGCTTCAATTGCTTTCTGAACTTTCACCAGTTTCAACAGAAATACAGTGATAAATACATTGCAAATAACTAGAGCCCTCATTCATGGTGAGAAAACCTATGTGCCTCAGCATTGAATATGGTAATCCCGCAACCACGTGTTAAGTGTAGGACTTCAGCAAATCGTCTTTTGTCGTGATCAAATGACTTCCTTTTAGCAGATTGCCACTTTGAAGTCAATGAAGTTTATTTGAGGAAACAATTTTGGCGACACTATTGCCCTTAAAACCCTTAAGCAGCTCATCACCATTTATATTAGACGCACACTCTTGGATGGTACTTAAAGTGCAATCACCACAAGGAGTCAGGACCGTGAAATTGTGCTCTCGAAAAATCCAGACAATCACAGTCACATCATCTCCTTTCCCCTTTCTGGTTCTGTGTGTTTAAACTTACAGCTGCATTATTTTCACTCTTCTAATGTTAAAACAGAGAGATGAGCTGTTTTTATTAAAGGGTCTGTGGTTATTTCTTCAGCTCTACTTGTCACACTGACTCTGGTTCAGCAGTTTCTCAAACTCTAACAGGACTCTTCTCTTTAGTGAGTAAATGCTGACACAGCGGTCACACAATCGTTTTCCTCTTTCTTTATTATTCTGC